ATGAAATATAACAAAAACATACAAAATTAAGTGTTTCAGGAGAAAATATTTTAAAACCTCCAAAAGAAAGGTTCTGAAAATATTTCCCGACGATTCTAAAAAAAATATGAAAATAGAAATGAAAGGAAAAGGAAAGGAAAACGAAGGTTACATATTTATTTTTTACATTATATCTAATATAAACTGGTAGTGGATTGTAGTATTTTTCGACGATGAACTAACAACTTTAGAAATAAAAATGATAGATTTATTTGTAATGTTAGAAAAATGAAGTAGGCTTTAAGGGTTATGAAAAAGATAAAGGTTCTACACAAAACGGGCATTTTTTAGCATCTTTTTAATTCGCGCCAATTTTTGACATCCTTTATATTTGATTATATATTTTACTCTTTTTAATCTTTTTAGTCTTTTCTTTTTAAAATCGTCTTTGCTTTCTTCGATTCTTTTGCAAACATAGCATGTGATAGAATTAAAACATTTGTTCTGCTGATAAAAATCTTTAATTAAATTCTGTTTAAAATTCGAAATAAGATTAAATATTTTCCCCCTCCCAATCCTTATATTTTCCCCCTCCCGACCCTACCATTTTCTCCTTCTTAAGATGTTGATACACTAGATAATCCTCTTGTTATTCTCCAATATTATCTATATAAGGATTAAAACTAGTTTTTGTAGATTACAGTTTATTATTACGATGTAAAAGTGGTATTTATACGTAGAGTTTCATATCCGATTCAAAGTAGAACCATTTAAACCTGCTTTCAATCAGCGATGACAAGATTTTTCAGGCTTAAAACATGGCACTGGAAAATTTTAGTTTTTAGTCTAAATTTCTAAAAAAAAAACTTTAAAACGGCTAAAACTTCTTTACTTTTTTTCAATATTTTTTGCAAAGGGTATTATTTAACTTATCGGCTGCTATCGGGATATTCTAGACTGTTCTAGAGTCTAGTTAATTATTATTTAACTTATCGGCTACTATCGGGATATTCTAGACTGTTCTAGAGTCTAGTTTATTATTATTTAACTTATCGGCTACTATCGGGGTATTCTAGACTGTTCTAGAGTCTAGTTTATTATTATTTAACTTATCGGCTACTATCAGAATATTACAGACTGTTCTAGAGTCTAGTTTATTATTATTTAATAATTATCTGCTACTATCAGAATATTCTAGACTGTTCTATAGTCTAGTTTATTATTATTTAACTTATCGGCTACTATTGGGATAGTCTAGACTGTTCTAGAGTTTAGTTTATTATTATTTAACTTATCAGCTACTATAGGGCTATTCTAGACTGTTCTAGAGTCTAGTTCATTATTATTACACTTATCCGCTACTATCTGGATAGTCTAGAATGTTCTAGAGTCTAGTTTATTATTATTTAACTTATCGGCTACTATCAGGATATTCTAGACTGTTCTAGAGTCTAGTTTATTATTATTTAACTTATCAGCTACTATAGGGCTATTCTAGACTGTTCTAGAGTCTAGTTCATTATTATTACACTTATCCGCTACTATCTGGATAGTCTAGACTGTTCTAGAGTCAGTTTATCATTATTTAACTTATCGTCTACTATCGGAGTATTCTAGAATGTTCTAGAGTCTAGACTATCTGGCCTGTAACTTGGTAATATATGTGGAAAATGGTAGTATATATGGTATGTGAAAAATGGTAATATATATGGTATGTGGAAAAGGGTAATATATATATGGTATAAGGAAAATGGTAGTATATATGGTATGTGGAAAATGGTATTATATATGGTATGTGGAAAAGTTAATATATATGGTATGTGGAAAATGTTAATATATATGGTATGTGGAAAATGGTAATATATATGGTATCTAACTAAAATGTTAATATATATGGTATGTGAAAAATGGTAATATATATATGGTATGTGGAAAATGGTAATATATGTGGTATGTGGAAAATGGTAATATATATCGTATGTGGAAAAAATATCTCTAGACTATAATTGGATTCCTAATCAACCCTTGAAACCTCTAATGTTCAGTCTTTGAATTATCAATGCTTTCGTGGATTTCTGAAGGTTTCTTCAAGAAACTTTGTTTTGACTGGTTTTTTAAATAATAAAAACTCTAAAATGTTTTAAAATATTTTTCTTTTTTCTTTTTGAATTCCGTGAAATAAAATTGAGAAATGCAGTCGCATCATAATTCCGTTAACAATACATGTTTCTTCAAACCTTCTTTTTATACAGTTCATACATTTAAATACATCAACACTTTTATTTCTTATTTTTAACAAAAGTAAAAATATGGAAAATACTGAGCCTTACACTAAATTTCAGTGTTATGAAAACAAAACCCCCGCTGTAATAAAAAACTTTTTAATAAGGAATGGTGCTACGGCTAGAACATGCTTAAAACTAATTAAAATTTAAAAAAAAAAAAAAAATCCAAATTAAAATTATCTGTTCTCTCGCAAATGAACTCTTAGTTTACAGGTCTTAAGTTTTACATATATTTCCAACCAAGGTTGATCAGGCCTAGATCAGGCCTAAATGCAACAACTGCATTAATTAAGCTGCAACTAATGAGCCTCTCCTCCTCTCTCCTGATTAACAAAAACCCAACCCTAACTTTGTAAAAGGAAGAGATGGGCATCATTTTCGTAAACAAAACAAATTATTTAAAACAAACGATGGTGTCGTTCAAAAATAAAAATTTAAAGATAAAAGAACTAATTAGATGGTTCTCATTTTATAAATCATTCAGAGAAATTAAAAAAATGATTGTTTTGAAAACAAACATTAAGATCGTTCGCATTTTATAAATCATACAGTCCGTTAATAAAAACTGTTCATTTAACGAACTTGAAAAACGATAAGGTTTTTACTTAGCAAAATAATATTTTAATTGACATTTAAATTTGAAGAAAAAAAATATAATTGTTTTACTAACGATCTCTTTTCATGAATTTAAACAAAACAGATCATTTACTATCTCTAGTCGATAGTGTCGAAATAAAAACTAAACCCTAACTAAGTCTTTGGTTTAGGATATAAACCTAAACCCAAACTAAATCAATGATTAAGATATAAACCTAAACCCAAACTAAATCAATGATTAAGATATAAACCTAAACCCAAACTAAATCAATGATTAAGATATAAACTTAAACCCAAACTAAATCAATGATTAAGATATAAACCTAAACCCAAACTAAATCAATGATTAAGATATAAACTTAAACCCAAACTAAATCAATGATTAAGATATAAACCTAAACCCAAACTAAATCAATGATTAAGATATAAACCTAAACCCAAACTAAATCAATGATTAAGATATAAACCTAAACCCAAACTAAATCAATGATTAAGATATAAACCTAAACCCAAACTAAATCAATGATTAAGATATAAACCTAAACCCAAACTAAATCAATGATTAAGATATAAACCTAAACCCAAACTAAATCAATGATTAAGATATAAACCTAAACCCAAACTAAATCAATGATTAAGATATAAACCTAAACCCAAACTAAATCAATGATTAAGATATAAACCTAAACCCAAACTAAATCAATGATTAAGATATAAACCTAAACCCAAACTAAATCAATGATTAAGATATAAACCTAAACCCAAACTAAATCAATGATTAAGATATAAACCTAAACCCAAACTAAATCAATGATTAAGATATAAACCTAAACCCAAACTAAATCAATGATTAAGATATAAACCTAAACCCAAACTAAATCAATGATTAAGATATAAACCTAAACCCAAACTAAATCAATGATTAAGATATAAACCTAAACCCAAACTAAATCAATGATTAAGATATAAACCTAAACCNGGGGGGGGGGGTTAATTCACATTTTGCATTGTTTTTGCACTTCACACATTACAAAATATTTCATTCACTTAACAAAGTATACAATTTTGGAAAACATCTAACCTGGCTTTTTTTAAATGATGAAATATTTTTAACCACAAAAAATATTTTATGCAAAGTGATGCAAAGATTATGCAAAAAATTGCTAAAGTTTGCAAAATTTTGCATAAGCCCTTTTTAGATTTTAGAAATTCGCCGAATTTTTCTCTTATTTTGCTAAAACAAGATTTGCATAATTTATTTTTGCACTGTTCATTAAAAAAAATTATCTCATAATTTATATTAATATTGCACAATTCCATATTATTTTTGGTAATCAATTTTATTCCGTTTGTTGTGCTTCAAACAAACCAAAAAAATAGATCTTTCAGATATGCGAAGTAAAAGTATAAGTAGATGTTATTTCATATTTTATAAACTTATCATTAAAATGTTGTTGCCAACTCACCTTTAACATAACTTATTTTCACAAACATTTTTTCCGTTTTCCTATGACTTGTGAGAAAAATCGATTAAAGCCGTTTGTAACAGAGCGACTTCATAAATAGATGTTTAGAATATGCGAACGATTGCCAGGTCTAGAATTAATAATGGTTTTAAAACAATGTTAAAATATAAATTTTGGTGAGAAATTGAGAGGAAAGAAATATACTAAATATATGGTATGTGTAAAATGGTAATATATATGGTATGTGGAAAATGTTAACATATATGGTATGTGGAAAATGGTAATATATATGGTATGTGGAAAATGGTAATATATATGGTATGTGNAATTTGCAAATATTCACTACACATAATTATCGTAAATTACGGTTTTATCAATTTTCCTTGTAAATCAAGTTAGAATCTCAAAACCAAGCTGAGAATATTCTCGTGGTTAATTCTCCCTAGTTCTCCAATCAAAATTTGAGATAAATTAGTCTTGGGGTGTGATCGGACATACAAACAAACAAACAAAAAAGATTACAACTTTATGTATATATATATAAATATTGATGTTTTGATTAAAACTACAAAAATCAGTTTTTTATATAGAATTGTTTACAACATGTTTTCTGAAACTCCCTGCTAGGATAAGGCAGAATGAAAAATCTCCGGTATATCTAAAGTATACAGGAAAAGGACGGAATTATCTCCGGGTAGTCTCTAGTATACGGGGAGAGGGCGGGACGGATACGGATAGAGAAACTATCCTCGTTCTCCTCACAACTCCTAGATTCTACTCTTTCCGGAGCAAGATCCAGTCCCGCAGCAATCCATACTATATTCAACGGGGGACCTGGAGCAAACACAGGGTTTAATCCCTGGAGTAAAATTCAACCTGGATTAAAGAAAATCTGACGAAACCTCTGCACCGAATAAATACTTTAATTATTTTAGAAAATTAGGAGATTTTTTCATGGAAGTATTTAGAGGCACAAAAACTTAGTGATCAGAGTGTAAAGTTTGGATGAAAACCAGAAAGTGATAAAATGACTAGAAGATTCCATTAAGAAGAAAAAAGATGAAGAAGAAAAAGATTTTATTTCTTGTGTCTCTGTGCCTGCTGGCAACAGGTATATTCGAGGCGTCTTAGCCTGTCATTTCTTCCTGATCTTCTTATATTCATTATATTTACTTAAAGGGAGGCTTCGCCAACTTTGGGTCAAATTATTTACCTTTGCAAGGCCAACTGCTATTTTTTTACTTTTTTTTTCATTGTTCCTCATATTAAACAGATCAAATTAAAGGGACAGTAAGCACATATTAAACAGATCTTATTAAAGGGACACTAAACGCATATTAAACAGATCTAATTAAAGGAACAGTAAGCACATATTAAACAGATCTTATTAAAGGGACACTAAGCGCATATTAAACAGATCAAATTAAAGGAACAGTAAGCACATATTAAACAGATCTAATTAAAGGGACACTAAGCGCATATTAAACAGATCAAATTAAAGGAACAGTAAGCACATATTAAACAGATCTAATTAAAGGGACACTAAGCGCATATTAAACAGATCAAATTAAAGGAACAGTAAGCACATATTAAACAGATCTAATTAAAGGGACACTAAGCGCATATTAAACAGATCAAATTAAAGGAACAGTAAGCACATATTAAACAGATCTAATTAAAGGGACANTAGGCTTTAAGGGTTATGAAAAAGATAAAGGTTCTACACAAAACGGGCATTTTTTAGCATCTTTTTAATTCGCGCCAATTTTTGACATCCTTTATGTTTGATTATATCTTTTACTCTTTTTAGTCTTTTCTTTGTAAAGTCGTCTTTGCTTTCTTCGATTCTTTTGCAAACATAGCATGTGATAGAATTAAAACATTTGTTCTGCTGATAAAAATCTTCAATTAAATTCTGTTTAAAATTGAAAATAAGATTAGTATTTAAAAGTTTAGGAAAGTGCCGTTTATTTTCATACCGTATTTTAGGGAAATTGTGAGAAGGAAGCAGTCCAATTTTTGTAGATTTTTCTCTAGGAATATAAAAATCGTTTCTGTTTCTAAGATTTGCGTTTTTGATATTTTTTGAAATAAAAACTGCATAACATTAAAAACTCCTTATTTTCTGAAGGGGAGTATGTTCAAAACCCAAAAAGCTTCCGCTGTGTGACTTATTCTAGGTAACCCCATGGAATAAAACTGTGTGGCATATTGATAAACATGCTCAAATAAAAATGCGTTTCATTAGAAAAAATAGACAATTAATATTTGGTTTGGAAAGAAATCAGAAGAGAATTTGAAAAAAGTACATAATATCTTAAGTTTAAGCACAACGTGCAAAAAGGGGCAATACAATTTTTCTGTTCCTTTTTAAGTAATGTGCATTTATAAGAAAGAAAAGAAACTTTGTTCATTCATGTAGTTCAATTATTTCTTTGTTCTTTTCTTTTACTAACGTCTTAAACTACATACATAAACTTTTTTTTTGAGAATTTTTTTGTTAATTTATATTGTTTAATAGCCTAGTTACAGTAAAAACCATAAAACTCTGAAATAGGAAGACGACTTTTAGACTAATGTTATATAGTCCAATAAACATGACACACAGAAATTGTGCAATGTAAACAGACCAATTTCCCTTAATTAGTGATATAATAAGTAATGAGTAAAACTATTTCCTTTGTAATTGTAACAAAATCAAATACACTTAACTGTTTTAGTGTTAAGTCTACACGTTAAATCTACATGTTGTTCAAGTTTTTGCAGTAATTAAATTTTGATATATTTCATTAACACATTTAGTTAAGCCTTTTAAAGTAACCAAACGTTCCTTTATTTCGTATTTGTTTTTCTTTCTCCTTCATTTTTTTTATTTTTTTTATTGTTTAATTTTATATGAATTTTATTCGAAATCAAATATTTTGCCACAAAATATCCAAATTAACTTCTTCAGTAAATTAAAGGTATATGGTTATGTTGTTAAGTATGCTATACTAAGGTTGGGTAAACCTTTGAAGTGAGCTCAGTTAGAATAATTTAATTTTAATAATAAATAAACTGTTTTCAAATTTCCAAGTTTACATCGAGGAAAAGATTAAGATTGTAGATTACACAAAAAATCGGGGAAAATGTTTCAAAATCCGTGAGCAGATTTATTTTATCCGTACTTTCATCCGTGAAATGGCTTTATCAACGTATTAGATTTCAATTTTAGGATAATTTTTCAATAAAGCTGGAAAAATATTTTGCAGAGAAAGTATAAATTATTTCTCAAATAAGTTTAAGAAAATTTACTCTTTTTTATTTTTAAGAATAAAAATAATTTAATGGTCAGAGTGGTTTTATCATTATAGTTTTTAAAATGAACAAAATTAACCTAAATAGAACAATGATTTGCTGTTTTATTAGGTAATTGGTTTAAAGTGGTACAGCTATCAGTTGTTATATTTAGGTAAATGGTTTAAAGTGGTACAGTTGTCAGTTGTTATATTTAGGTGATGGTTTAAAGTGCTACAGTGATCAGCTGTTATATTTAGGAAATGGTTTAAAGTGCTACAGTGATCAGCTGTTATATTTAGGAAATGGTTTAAAGTGCTACAGTGATCAGCTGTTTTATTTAGGAAATGGTTTAAAGTGCTACANTCAGTTGTTATATTTAGGTAAATGGTTTAAAGTGGTACAGTTGTCAGTTGTTATATTTAGGTGATGGTTTAAAGTGCTACAGTAATCAGCAGTTAAATTAAGGAAATGGTTTTAAGCGCTATTCAGTGATCAGTTGTTATATTTAGGTGATGTTTTAAAGTGCTACAGGGATCAGCTGTCATATTTAGGAAATGGTTTAAAGTGCTACAGTGATCAGCTCCTATATTTAGGAAATGGTTTAAGGTGCTACAGTGATCAGCTGTTATTTTTCGGAAATGGTTAAAAGTGGTACAGGGATCAGTTGTTATATTTAGGTGATGGTTTAAAGTGCTACAGTGATCAGCTCCTATATTTAGGAAATGGTTTAAGGTGCTACAGTGATCAGCTGTTATATTTAGGAAAAGGTTTAAAGTGCTACAGTTATCAGTTGTTATATTTAGGTGATGGTTTAAAGTGCTACAGTAATCAGCTGTTAAGGAAATGGTTTAAGTGCTATTCAGTGATCAGCTGTTATATTTAGGAAATGGTTTAAAGTGCTACAGTAATCAGCTGTTATATTTAGGAAATGGTTTAAAGTGCTAAAGAGTGATCAGCTGTTATATTTAGGAAATGGTTTAAAGTGCTACAGTGATCAGCTGTTTTATTTAGGTAATGGTTTAAAGTGCTACAGTGATCAGCTGGACAAGATTGTGAAATGTGATGAAAATCTTGGATACCGAACTTGTTTTATCAGATATGGAGAACGTAAGTCAACTTTTTTTTTATAAAATTTGAGTTCTGAATTCTGTGACGACAAAATTTAAAATTAAAAAGAATTCAAAAGAATTATTGATAATGAATACAAATCGAGAATTTTATAAATGAATCTAGATGAATCTTATTCTTGTTATGCTATTGACGTATTAAAAAAAATAATTATTATTTCAAGGGATTTTAAAAATGTTTTCTGCCTGTTTAATGTCTTAAAAATTGGTAGAGATATTATTAATTCTGACCCAAGGCTGATTGATAAATAGCATAACAATGCACAAAGATCCAGACAGCCTTGAAAAGTTGCAACAATTTTGCCAAATTTTGATTCTGAATAAAAATATATTGTTTTAAATTTTCTTTCGAGGATAAAAAATATTGCAAACCTTGACAAAATCAAACTTTAGCAGTATTTCAAGTTTTGAAAGTTTTATTGAATGTTTTTGAAAAACGATTGATATCACTTATGAGACGTAAAATTGTCGTTTTTTAAATTTGTTGAATTAACCTTTAAGATTACGAGCTATCTCTAATCCCCACCAAAACATTTAACCTGGCCAAAATTGAAGTTTCACCAGACCTTTGCCCTCGAGAAATTAACCTTAACATTCCACTGATACTGTTTTGCAACTCTAGATGTAAAAATTTTAAAAATATCAAAGTGTTCAATTTGGATTTTCTTTTCACAATTATATTTGGCAGAATTCTGATCTAATTTTCTAGTTTGGAATACTATGGGTTCATGAACATAGAACTCCGATAATACAAGAGCTTCCCTCGTATACTACTGGGCTCCCTTCAAGGGGTTGTACAGAATTTGTTTAGTTAGTTTTTCTTGCATTTTGGGTTCCTTGTACAGACCAAAACTTCCTTATTTCTGTGCATAATCATAAAGTAAACCATTAAAATACTCCATTGAATGCAGAAACCAAAAATAAAGCATCAAATCGTTATATTTTTAGAGCTTTGGTTCGTCTTTACAGTCTCATCCTTTTGTGGGTAACCCTGTACATACAAATGTAAAATCATATTTTCCTAAATCCCTTAATTTATTCAAATTAATATTTAGTAACATGAAAACTATGTAGAGTCGTTTCAGTTAATCCTCATATAGAAACTGAACAATTGTTACAAATTCTAATCTTCTGATTTCTATATTTTTTCAACCTGATCCCGGCTAGCTGCACACCTTTGAATCGATAAACTTTTAATTATGAAAGTTCTAATAAAGATCAAAAGTATTCGAAGTCGAATTGCAAAGTGAACAGAATTTGAAAATATGTGTTGTTTCCCTTTTTTTGGTTTAACTTATTGTTTTAAAGAAATCCAGTCTTTGCCACAAACTCTGATTTCTAATTCCCATATCTTTGCACCCATGTCAAAGTCATTTAGTATTTATAACTATGAATTTTGTAAATTTGTAATTACAAAGGTTTACACCATCAGGTTGCAAAGATATGGGGATTATATTCGAGTTTGTGACATAGACTGAATTCATTTATTTTTGTTAAGGAGGGGATGTTACAGGAAGAGGGTGCTCTACCAAGGATAAAGTTTATTATAAGGTGAGTTTTTTATTAGAATAAAACCTTTGAAGTAAGTAGTTTGATTGCTGTAAATGATTTGCTCTTATAGGAATTGAGTCTTTGTCACAAACTCAGATTTTCTAATACTTATATCTTTGCAATCCGATGTCTATTCTGTATAATTGGTTTATTTTAAGGCATAGATCGTAACTAACTTGTATTCAACATGGTAATAATTATGGTAACATGGTAATAACATGGTAATAACATGGTAATAACATGGTAATAACATGGTAATAACATGGTTATGACATGGTAATAACATGGTAATAACATGGTAATAACTATTGAACATGTGTGGAAACTGGATACAGTCAATAAGTATATATCCGGCTCTTAGCTAGGTTAAAGCTCATTCGAAGGTCGTCTTTTGATTGATGTGCGAAGTGCAAGATGAATCATGTAAAACAAAGTATGTCCATGCAATGGGTTGGCTTTGATTTATTACTTAAAATCCATCATGCCAAGTGTTAAACTTGAATGCCTAAAAGGAACTGTTCGTGTAACTCCAAGTGACCGGCCCTTCATGTGACTCTCCATGTGACAATTCATGTGACCGGGCCTCCATCGGACTCTCCATGTGACCGGCCCTCCATCTGACTCTACATGTGACACTCCATGTGACTCTACATGTGACCCTCCATGTGACTCTACATGGGACCCTCCATGTGACCGGCCCTCCATGTGACTCCACATGTGACCCTCCATGTGAATCTACATGTGACCCTCCATGTGACTCTACATGTGACCCTACATGTGACCGGCCCTCCATGTGATTCCACATGTGACCCTCCTTGTGACTCTACATGTAACCCTCCATGTGACTCTACATGTGACCCTCCATGTAACCGGCTCTCCATGTGACTCTACATGTGACCCTCCATGTGAACGGCTCTCCTTGCATGGAGGGTCACTTCTTAAAATTATGCTTACAGTCCCTTTAATTCTTTATTTTCTGTTGGTAAAATAAAGTGAATATGGTGGTAGGAGAACAATGAAGCTACATAAATCTTCTCACTGTTTTATACTAATGTAGAGGATATCAAATGACACTGCAAGTTCTATTGCTAATGGAAGGGTATCAGGTTCCTGTTTTTATATCAAATAGTTCTCCTTTCAATATCTTATCCTAGCAACCCATATCATATAGTTCTCCTTTCAATACCTTATCCTAGCAACCCATTTCATATAGTTCTCCTTTCAATATCTTATCCTAGCAACCCATATCATATTATTCTCCTTTCAATATCTTGTCCTAGCCACCCCTATCATATAGTTCTCCTTTCAATATCTTTTCCTAGCAACCCAAATCATATAGTTCTCCTTTCAATATCTTATCCTAGCAACCCATATCATATAGTTCTCATTTAAATATCTTATCCATAACTTAACCTTGCAACCCAGATGATTTCCAAAACTTATCTGAACTGGTTTTGGTAAACTTTTTTCTCCCATGTTTTGAAGAAAGAACCAAAACTAAGCTGATAAGGGTCGGGAAACGATCCAATCTTTTGCTCAAATATATTTTACTTTGGAATAAATTTCACTATAATATGAATCCCATATAATATTTTTTTCTTATTGCCTTTGGTATCAAACAACTTAACAAATTATGGAAGAAAACATTCTAAACTATTCACCAACTATCATGTTTCGTGGGACACCCTGTATGTCTTGAATGGTTCGTGGGACACCCTGTACGTCTTATGATGATTTTTCTGGAATAAAAATGTTGACTTTTAAAATTGCTCTAGATTTACTTGAGTGGTTCAAATTTAACAAGTAGATACTAATCTAGGATTAAGAATGTTGAAAGCAAAGGGGGGGGGGGATTTGGCTTCCCCCCCCCCCCCCGATGAACAATATTTGGGAATATTTATTAAAGGATTTTATCAAAAATGACACTATGTCAAAAGCTGCAGGAGACGAAAATTCTAAACCGTGCTTATGTTCTAAACCTGAAACTTTGCGTCAGGTTTGCGCATGCGCACATACAGAGTTTTCCTGAAAGGATGAGACTGTAAAGACGACCTGAAACTCTTTAAACATGGTGAATGGCGATCCCAAGGTTCACTTAAGTTTGCTGCCGTAAATATAGTATTTTAATTGCTTCTTTGATGATTATTAAAAAAATGAAAAAAGTTTTAAGTTGAAGGGAATCATGAATATAGGAAAACAGGCAAAATGAATTCGTTTCTAAAGTTTTATTCTTTATGGGTAAACCTTCACAGAAAATTCAGTATAAGGGGATAATTCATTTGGCGTACAGTCTCGTTTTGCCTCATATAGTCTGTAGCTGTACTGTACTGCTAGCCCTGGCCAGTTGAAATTCGGCCCGGCACGTGAAATGAAAGTCATTTTTTTATCCTAACTTGAAAAAGAAAATATTTGGGAATATTTATTAAAGGATTTTATCAAAAATGACACTATGTCAAAGCTGTAGGAGACGAAAATTCTAAACCGTGCTTATGATCTTAACCTGAAACTTTGTGTCAGGTTTGCGCATGCGCACATACAGAGTTATTCTGAAAGGATGAGACTGTAAAGACGACCTGAAACTCTTTAAACATGGTGAATGGCAATCCCAAGGTTCACTTAAGTTTGCTGCCTTAAATATAGTATTTTAATTGCTTCTTTGATGGTTAATCAAAAAATGAAAAAAGTTTCAAGTTGAAGGGAATCATGAATATAGGAAAACAGACAAAATGAATTCGTTTCTAAAGTCTTATCCTTTATGGGTAAACCTTCACAGAAAATTCAGTATAAGGGGATAATTCATTTGGCGTACAGTCTCGTTTTGCCTCATATAGTCTGTAGTTGTACTGTACTGCTAGCCCTGGCCAGTTGAAATTCGGCCCGGCACGTGAAATGAAAGTCATTTTTTTATCCTAACTTGAAAAAGACAATTTTTGGATTTTGTTTTTTATTACAGTTAAAAAACAAAGCACAAGGTGAAAATGAATTCAACGCATTTTAATAAAAATTTCCGTATTTTGATTGATTCAGAATTATTAATATCAGAATTTGTTTAATGGTGTAGTTTTGAGTCTTTGCAACAAACTCAAATGTTCCCAAAAAATATTAAAACGATTAACATATGTAGTTCTGTGCACATGTTTATTTTTAGTTTACAAATCTGGCCTTGACTTTAATTAAGATTAAAGTATGCAGACGGGCTTTTATATATGAACCCTATGAACCTAAATAAAAAAAAACATAAACAATAAAAATAAACACTTTGTTGCTTCGACCAAAGACGACCCTTAAATCTTAATGTTAGTTATGGGCCTGATCAAAGTTAGGAATTTTATTCCCCTGAAGTGTTTTGGGAGAAAGTTTATTATTTATATTCTTGAAAAATTAAATCGATATTATATAGTTTTATTTTTTATTTTAATTTTTTTAATCATAACTCCACTTATTAAAGAGTTGTTAGTAAGAACAAAAAAGTTTGAATTTCTAATATGTGAGTGGAGGCTGAATTTAAAAAATTTAAGTAGCTTCGTTGATCCGACAAAACCGGTTCCAATTGAGCGCCGGCTAAAATCTCGATACACTTTATACAATTTCAAGAAGAACCAACTAGAGGAGCTACAAGGTCACAAAGTTGAACCTGTAATGTCAAATCTTACTTCTGTTTAGTTTGCCGTGTTTATGATCACAATTTATCAATAATTTAAATATTTGTTTAGGAATGTGAGACTAACAGCTATGGTGCTGGCACTGAGAAGTTTTGCTATTGTAATTTCTATTTGTGCAATGGGGCATTGCGCTCATCTGTTCTCTCATCAACAAACCTTGCTCTGCCTTTCCTCTGTATCCTACTGTTTATTAGGTATATATCTTTTCCTCTGTATCCTACTGTTTTTTAGATACTAGGGCCCGGCGTTGCCCGTGGAAAAAAATAACACCACCGGCCGCCCCTGAGTGTCCACAAAAAATTCAGCTCAATCGGTCCAGCCGTTTGGCCGGCAATAAGTAACATTTATATGAACACGAATGTCTTGTTTTATTATATAGATTTACCATCTTATAACTCCTTTTTAATGAAGCGCTATTGAGAAGAACTTTTGGCCCAGTTCATTGACATCGTGATGTGCATTCAGTTGGGTCGTTTGTTGCTAATNAGTCTAGGGAACATACTGTATTAATGTACTCTACTGCATATAATTTGTGAACATTTACATGATTTGTACACTTTGAACTCCCTTTCAGGCTGAAAGGGACTGACAAAATTCATACCGAGAGATTCTTTTAATTCCTCTCTATATATTCTATTCTCAATCTCTATGAACAGAGGTTATCAAATGTGTTATACTAGCTGAAGTGCCCAGGGTTGCACAAAGAATTTTAAAAACACTTTTGAATTTTGAAAAAAAAATCAAATTTTTTATCCCATTATATCCCCAGGGAACCCAAGGTTTCATCCAATTTCTTCTAGCCGTTTGGCTATAGCTATGGCTTACATGGATATATATATATATATATATTTTTTCAAAGAATTTTGACTACTGAGGATCGTCATGAGGCGTGAAACATTGTATTAGTATAATTCTTTTTTAATAAAATATGAAGTTTGAAAACTGAATATATACATATATATTTGAGTAAAAGGCTTGTATAGATAATAAATATTAGCACTTCTTGAAGAATAACTCTCTTGGAATATTAAAAGTAACAATACAATATGAAAGTGGAGCCAAAGCCATCAAAATTAAGGAATTGAGTATTTGCCACAAACTCAAACTTTTCTGTTTGAAATAATTAAGGTATTGGGTTGCAAAGATATAGGAACTAGAAAATCAAAGTTTGTGATGAAAACTCATTTTCTTTATCTAGGGGGCTGATTCAACTTTGGACTCAGGGGTAGTCAAATATCCTTAAAATCTGGAAATAAGTTTAAAAATGAAGAAGAAAAAACAGAGTCTTTTAGACATCTTTATCAATATTTTTTTTCAGGTGGTATCAGCCAGACCTGTAAAACAATTCAAAAGACCGGTGTGATCTCTAATCAAATAAATTTTTAATTTAAGAAATGTAAAGATATTGTAGATATAATTTTAGTTTCATATTTTGAAATGTATGTATATGTAGATGGGCAATTCAAATTCAAATCTTCACTTTCGTTTATTTAAGATTGAAAAAAATACTGAGAAGCAATTATTTTTAAATTTCTCGCCTGAAATAGCATTTTATACCTCTAAAACTCCGATTTTTATTATTTTTTTTTTCAAAATCGCTTATGGGGAAATTTAAAACGCAATTTAGACATTTTTTACACAAAAAGGAAGGAGTGCCAAAAAAAATTATTTCCTTCAAAAGATATTAGGAAAATTTTGTAAAACATTTTTTTTAAAGTTTGAAAAATTATTTGTTACACATATACAGTACATGCTTCATATTACAGTGTCTATTGTTTGTATCATATGTTTTTGGGCAAAAATTTTAAAGTTCATTATATTCTTTCTAATTGAGACCATGTTTTTTTTTGGCGGTTAAGAAAAATGTTGCAAAGTTATATCAAGTTAACCCTTTATTCAAGAAAAAACTACCCCTGTAATCAAATCTATGGATTCCCGTAATAGTGAAAAAGTTATATGTTACATGGTGTTATATTGACAAATTCTTGAAAAAGATGTAAAATGTTTATATTTGTGGTTGTTAAAGGAATTATTATGAAATAAAGAAATGCAATTTTTAATTCTCATTTATTTTTAAATATTTTGTGTAATTTATCATGCAAACAAAAACAACAACAAAACTCAATGAATTGAAGTACAATTTGCACTTTAATAGGAAAATTTGCACTAATTTCAATTTGCTAAAAACAGTTGGAAACATTTTGTTAATGCAGTGTGGTTTTTGCAAAATTTCAGCACTAATTTTTCGTATTTTTTGCTTTCAATTAATTGTGCGTAACTGTTTCTACATAAGATATTTATAATATTAGTTTTCAATGTTAAACATATACAGGGTGTCTCAAAAATGGGAATTTAGTGAAGAATTCGATATCGTCTTTTTAAATAATTCTTTGATTTAGTATAGTGATACCTACTGAGAAAGCTGTAATCTGTAAGAGTTTCGTCTGCTATGTTCACATTTTGTTTGTTTATGTTTTGACTGCATACGGTTGTACTTAGTAAAACAAGAAAATTGCAGTATTCAAACAGAGTAAACTTGTCCGTCTTAACTGTTAATCTTGCGGAGACATTATAGACACATTTTTAAAGCCATTTACCCTTTTCATAAAATAAATTCTAGCAGACATAATAATATTAAGGCTTTTGAAATTAGGTATTACAATGCTAATTCATAACAAAGAGGATATCCAATTCGTCACTGAATTCCCATTCTTATTGGGACACCCTGTATAATCGCCTAGCGTAGACACCCAGCACTGCCCAGGTTACTCATGGTTACTTCCGCCGTTTACCCGACGATTTTTACAAAGAAACTAACTTTTAGCATTTAAGTCAATTTACTGAACTTAGCATCTCAAAACCAATCTAAGAACATTTCCGTGGGTCTCCCAACTTCCCCAATTAAAAATTTTAGGTAAATCAGTGCAGGGGTTCCTGAGTTATGATCGGACAAACAAACAAACAGCCAAACAGAGATTACAGCTTTATATATAAAAATTACCAAACTAATTTGAAATTTATAGGATATACACACACGAGATGACAAAAATACATATTAACTAGCTAAATACATCTTTACATTAAAATGAATATTGATTAGAGAATTTATAACATCTGAAAACAATCATAAATTAGCTCGACAATAGCATGGATACACAATACACATATGTAACCATAGATTCGTATCTATACAAAAATTCAGAATGCTATGAAAAACTGCATTAATTTTCAAAATTATACCCACTTTAAATTGTAATTTTTAAACTCTTTAACACTTGTTTTTCAACCGGTTTTCTAAATTAGTAATTGGCAAAATTCTCATAGATTTTTTCGTGTGAGATTATATACATCTAGAATTAGTTACACATCTATGAAATAGAAAGATACATAATTAGTCATTTCCAGCGAACGAAACTTTAGCGAAAATTTTCTTTCATATTTCGCAAACTTTTTCGCGAAAGTTCGTGCTTTTTGCGAAAATGATTTTAACGAAAAATGTGAAATCTATGCGAAATTTGGCGAAAAATAATTTCGCGGAAAAAATTCAGCGAAAACCTAAAATGTTGTAGCTTTAACAATTAATTGTGCAAAAAATACTTGTGAACTTCCCTGCTCTGAATGCTAAGCACTAGAAGTTTTATCATATCAAAATTAACAATTTCTCTTCCTTTACCTTAATAAATATTTGATGAAGAGAAAGTGAAAATTTAATATTTTTTCACGAAATTTTGGCATTTAAAATTTCACTTAAAAATACGAACAAATGTGAAATGTTTGGCGAAAAAAATGTCCGCGAAAAATGCGAAATTTTTTAGAAAGGGTTTCCCATTTTCCCCTAATACATACAAATCAAATCAAAATCGTGAAATATTTTCCTAGCAATTATGGGCGATAGCGCTAAATCCTGATCATGATGGACAAAAATAAGGTCGTACACATGGATAAAAAGGCTCAAAGACACAAAAGACACGTCTATAAAGACGCAAAAGAAACGTGTACAAGACACTTAAGACACGTGTACAAAGACACTGAATACACGTGCTGAAAAAACAAAAGACACGTCTACAAAGACACAAAATACACGGGTTCAAAGACGAAAAGAAACCTGTAAAAAGAAACTTAAGACAAGTATACAACGAAACAAACAAAACACGTCTACAAAGACGAAACATACACGTCTACAAAGACGCAAAAGACATGTTTACATAGACACATAAGCCACTTCTACAAAGACAAGTCAAAGACACGCGAACAAAGATGCAAAAGACACGTCTACAATTAGTCAACAGACAAAAAAGAAACGTTTCCAAAGACATAAAAAACAAGCGTACAAAAACGTTAACACGTCACGAGGACGCAAAAGAAACGCGTAGAAATACGCAAAAGACACGTGTACAAAGAAACAAAAAACAAAAGCAGAAAGACACAAAAGACACGTCAAGAAATACGCAAAACACACTTGTAAAATGATATCAAAAGACACATGTACAAAGGCACAAAGTACACATGTGCACTGTACAGAGACACAAAAGACACCTCTACAACGACACAATCGACACGTGTACAAAGATACAAGAAAATGACGACACATCTTGAGGGGATGAGGATGGAATAAGATGATAAATTATCTAAATACATTATTACAACCAATCTTCAAATGTATGAACAATTAATCTTTTATAATATGAAATATACTTAGTATATATTTTACACTGTAAATGATTTGCTCTTATAGGAATTGAGTCTTTGTCACAAACTTAGATCTTCTAATATTTGTATCTTTGTCGTTTTTCTAGGTTTAAAGTGTTTAATTCGGAAAATTCCTGCTGTGGAAATAGAAAATAATTGAAAAGAAATAGTTTTCAATATATTCTACAAAATGATATATATTATATTATTTGTAAATCAGGCATGGAGGGTCATTTCTTAAAATTACGCTCACAGTCCCTTGAATTCTTTATTTTCTGTTAGTAAAATAAAGTGAATATGGTGGTAGGAGAACAATGAAGCTACATAAATCTTCTCACTGTTTTCTACTAATGTAGAGGATATCAAATGACACTGCAAGTTCTATTGCTAATGGAAGGGTATCAGGTTCCTGTTTTTATATCAAATAGTTCTCCTTTCAATATCTTATCCTAGCAACCCATATCATATAGTTCTCCTTTCAATATTTTTTCCTAGCAACCCATATCATATAGTTCTCCTTTCAATATCTTATCCTAGCAACCCCTATCATATAGTTCTCCTTTCAATATCTTGTCCTAGCAACCCATATCATATATTTCTCCTTTCAATATCTTATCCTAGCAACCCATATCATATAGTTCTCCTTTCAATATCTTATCCTAGCAACCAATATCGTATAGTGCTCCTTTCAATATCTTATCCTAGCAACCAATATCATATAGTTCTCCTTTCAATATCTTATCCTAGCAACCAATATCATATAGTTCCCCTTTCAATATCTTATCCTTGCAACCCATATCATATAGTTCTCCTTTCAATATCTTATCCTAGCAACCCATATCATATAGTTCTCATTTAAATATCTTATCCATAACTTAACCTTGCAACCCAGATGATTTCCAAAACTTATCTGAACTGGTTTTGGTAAACTTTTTCTGCTATGTTATGAAGAAAGAACCAAAACTGAGCTGAGAAGGGGTCGGGAAACGAACCGATCTTTTGCTCAAATATATTTTACTTTGAAATTTCACTATAATATGAATCCCATATAACATTTTTCTTATTGCCTTTGGTGTCAAACAATTTAACAAATTATAGAAGAAAACATTCTAAACTATTCACCAACTGTCATGTTTCGTGGGACACCTTGTACATCTCATGTTTCAATGTTGACTTGACCTACAAAAATAGGTAATGTTACATCATCTATACGCAACATCCTCACTACTGAACTTCTGACTTACTGTAATATCGGACCTACTTTATTTTTGTATTATTTGAGGGTTAGGTTAAGACAATTTCTTGGCCCATCGCTGTGGCTGGGACAGACTAGGGGGCCGAGCGCAGCGGCCGGGCGCTGCGGCCACAAGTCCATTTAACAGCTGATAAACCACGTGCTAGTAGGTCGGATTTGCGTAGGTCGAGAAATACACCACCACAAAAATATTATAAATCATTATCTTACTATATTATTTATCATAACCAGTTATGTATGAGTGAAGGAGCCAGAGTTTAGGAATAGGCAGTCTGCGAAAACTTCTACTTTCATGAAAATAGTCGTCTTTAAAAGGTGTTAAAAGCAGACTTATCAATTGGGAATGATTTTTTTCTGGAGGGGGCAATTTTGAGTTGTAACTTGTAGGGGCAATGTTGAGGAGTAATCCCTGCTATTCAGGGGTAATTACCTCCAGGATTCTAGGGGGGGGGGTGAGGGGGGTAATCAACCCCAGGGTTCGGGGGGGGGGGCAAGAACCCCAATGAACCCCTATTTTTGCATCTGGAAGAAACACATAAGTAAATATTATTTAATCAATAAAGAATTAATTATAACTAGCTGGACATACATATGGGTTTTCTAAAAAAATTAGCCAATTCGGTCCAGCCGTTTGGCCAGCTATAGCTGACAAACATATATGAGGAAAGAGGTTTATTATATAACAAATAATATAAATTAATAAATGATGATTTGGTGAGGTAGGTGTACATAGTACATGCTTACAACAAATAGTACAACTAACATTTTTTGATTTTTTTTTACAAAAATAATTGTTTACAATGTTTTATAGCTCAAATCTATATATAAATTTGGCTTGTCTGTTTGTTTGTTTGTCTGTTTGTATCCAATAAACGTCAAAACGGCTAAACCGATCGGGCCCAAATTTTTTGTGGGACATCTAGGGACCCCAGGGAAAATTTCTAGTATCAAATATTTGACTAACTTTATTGCTTCTAAAATTAATGATTTTTTTTGAATAAATCAAATCATTTTAACAATTTTACAATCTGTAAAAATTACACATTACACTAATACCCATGACGAATTCATTCAGGGGTGGCTTATGATATTTTCCGGAGGGTGTAAATATTTGAAGTTTTGGGCCATAAATGGGCCGAAATATACATCTATGTATGGTAGAGCTGTGTATTGATTATATACTGTTGTATCTTGTTATCTCCTTGCTGCGTGAAATCTACAGGCCTCTGCTCTACCTCTAGAACCTCCTCTTCATTCTTAACAGGTTTTCTTTTAGTAAAGTGCAATGTTGTAAATAAGGTTAGATACTGTGATGCGCTCCAATGTAGGTAAATGTCGTCTCTATTGCAATGGAAACTCTAAATCCTCATATGAGGTCACTGATACTTAACTAACAATCAGCAAATTTAACAAATATTGATTGTGCTAACAAGTTTAAAACTAAGATATTCAATTCAATTTCAAGTTATCAATTTTTCAGTTCGTTTACATTTAGTGAGCCACAAAATTTAATATTCTTTAAAATAAGCAGTGACGTCAAATGAGGATTTTGAGTGTCCATTGCTATAAAGGTCGTCTTTTCCTACATTGAAGCGCATCCAGAATATTTAACCTCATTGTACAACCTTGGTACAGTGAGACCAATATAACTATGGAAGTAAATAACCAAAGAAACACGATGCACAGCAATTGTGTGTAATTTAAAAAGTGTTGTTAGTCCTTTTTAAATTTAAAAATTCAATAACACTTTAACAATTTTAAAACTGTATTATGTTAAAGTTTGCTTGTATTAAACTTTGCTATATCTTTCTTAATCCTAATTATTTTATGAAAAACAATCCAAAAATGATCGTTTCAATAAGTTTGTTTTTGCATTGTTGTTATATCGTTTTTGGGTCGTTCTTGAATTTATTTTCTGTCAGGGTCAAATTTGACAAAGTGGAAGTAAAGAAAATGTTCACAATTAAAAAACAATTTAAAAAAAATTTGATCCTCTTATATTATGCAAAATTTGTTGTAAAGAGAAAAAAAAGTAACAAAACGATTGAAAAAAGATCCAAAAACAATCAAAAAAGGAACCAACTGAAGGCACTTCAATAAGTGTTCACACGAGCATCAAAAAAACATAAGTATAAAATGTCGTCTTCATTTCCACAGTTTATTAGTCCCACTATAATTACAAAATAAACTAAAAATCAGTTTAAAATGAGAAAAATAGATATTGTCTGATAAGAAACTGATAAAAATGATTAAATCCTCGAGATTTAAAAAAGAAACCCAGGGTTTTAATAATTCTTCTGTCTCTTGACAACTTCTGAAGATTTATTTAATTGTGTTGCTAATTAAAATAGGCAAACAATCCCTTTAATAACAACATAAAACTACGGATACAAGAAAACTACGGATATAAGGAAACTACGGATATAAGGGACATTAAGTTCAAATGCTCATAAAGATTGATTATTTGCATTAGTGGTTTCAACGCGTTTGAACAAAAAAACGACAATATCTTCCTTTCGTTACTCAGCATGGGGGTTAAAGGGGAACGAAGGTTTGTTGAAGTTAGGCCTACAGTACCTTTAATCTTTGCATTTGCGTAAAATTACGCTTACAGTCCCTTTAATGCAAAGATGACAATGCCCGATTTACAACGATACCCTTCAAAGCTTCGTCAGATCAAGTATGAATAATATATTAACGTTTTTCTTTCTTTAAACTGTTAATTTTCATTTGCAGTTTCTCTGGAAAAGCGACATGCGCATTTCTTGTTCATAACCTTCAATGGAGAAATTGACAGAAGAAAACACTTTTCAAGTCTAAAAAAGGACTGTATATTTCACATTTTGATCAGGTTAAGAAGGTTTCAAGGGTAAGTTGTTGCAAGTCGGACATTGCCATCTTTACATGGAGGGTCATTTGAAATTTCACTTTCATTCCCTTTAAGAGCGGTAAAATTTTACTTACCTCAAACTTGAGAAAGTTCTGAACTGCTTGAACAGTTGTTCTTTTAGCAACAGGGGCCTGATCAGACAACTAAATATTTTAACAAAATAAAATAAGAATAGTTTCAAAAATTGTTTATCTGGGACCAAATTTATAGTATAGAGAGAAGTTGAGCTTCGTAGAAAAAGTTTAACCCCTTCTATAGAGCCCCGGTTCAAAATCAATTAGTCTACCCAGTTCAGCTACTTCTCGTAATTATTAAGTTTATTTATGTTTAAAAAATGTATTTAAAATCTACCTGTATTATTGTTGGGCCCCCAGACCCTATCCCGTGAATTGTAACAGTTTGTTCTTTTCTAGTCCCTCCTGTAATTCAACATGGTTTAACAAGATTTTTTTTGTAGTGATTTGGATTCATTAAATTTTGAAGATAATCCCGGATCCAAATCCTGGATCCGCACTGGAAAAAAGTTAAATTATGATCCAGGTCTTTAAAATTTCTTCAAAATTTCCTGAATTTTTTTTACAGAAAAAGATTTTTTTTTTTTTTTTTTTTTGGGGGGGGGGTTTACGCTTCGAGTTGATGAACCTTTTAGAGGTAAGGACATTTTTGATCTCTCTTTTGTTTCAATTGTTCAGAATTGGGTTTTGAGAGCAAAATATTTTTATTTGCAGTTTTGGTTGATATTTTGCCCCTTGGATCCGTTTATTTTTACGGATCCAGAAAGCCTGCATGTTTTGGATCCAACGGATCCGGATCCTAAGCACTGCTTGGTGGTGAACATAACACAGTGGAACTCTTATTTCTTATTCTTTTAACTATGAAACGTTCATCAGAATTTTGTAATTTAACAATTTAGAACGTAATTAATATATTGAAAAGTGAAGAAGGAAAAATAAACCACAATAAGCATGAGAAAAATTGGGTGCGAAGAATCCTGAATTTGCCGTTAAACCATATTTTCCTTGAATCATCGCATACGAGGTTACAGTTGGGGTAGAAGTAACCTCCACTGAGGTTGCAACCACAGCTTGAGGCTGGTTTCTACCAGAGGTATGGGTTTTCAAGTGTCTTCTCAACTTGTAAGAATCAATAAACTTCTTTTCACATAGATCACAGGCAAAGTTTTTCATACCTAGAACACATTTTACTTTAGATAAATCGAATATTGAGGTCAGGAAACGATCAAATTTAAATTACTGTTAAGACTTTGAGATTTCATCAAATCAAATCAAATCAAATCAAATCAAATCAAATCAAATCAAATCAAATCAAATCAAATCAAATCAAATCAAATCAAATCAAATCAAATCAAATCAAATCAAATCAAATCATAAATGTTGGGGAAGCTTAAGGCTCCATTTTTCAGAGTTTCAATTCCTGAAAGAGAAATGGATTTTCAGCCCGTATATGAATTCAATTCTGACTTTCGCAATGTATCTAGCTAAAGGTTAAATTCCTATATTTGGTGACGAAATCCCAGCAACACGACCAAGGATGGATTAAATTTATTTGTTTCTTATTCGTCTAAAAATTCTTTTTATTTGGTTAATGTTGAAAACAGGCCAGATTCAAATCAAAGATGAAAATGAGATGTACGTAAATGTGCAAAGTACCTTACTGTACAGATGTACAGATGTACAGATTTCTTACCTAAATGTACAGATCTGGTGTGTACAGCAAGTCTATCCTTTCTATAGAATCCTTTACCACAATGATCGCACACAAAGCTGGGATTGTTATCATGCTTTCTCAAGTGCGCCTTAAACAAACAGAATTTGCGAGACTAAAATATATTTGTTTATTTCAACCGTTTGTTTGTATCCAAAATACGTGAGAACGGTTGAACCAATCGGGTAAATTTTTTTGCACGACCTGAAATGACCCTAAGAAAGGTTTGTATCTAAATTGTGAACCCCTTCATAATATAATTATGTTTTTGTAACCTCTCGTGCGAAGTTTTTAAGCTTTAAAAATGAAAATAAAGCAACATGGATGGCAACGTTTTAAAGTTAAAATAATTTAGAGCCTAAAAATCCGTATCACTATTTCTCCAAGGTAGGTATTGGTCGGTAAATAACTGTTACAATTGTAAATATCTATTACCTGTAACAAAGAATTGTTACTGAACGTTTTCACACAAAGATGACACTGATGCTTTCTACTTTTACTGTAAAATACATAATTTCAATAATTTTAGGAAAATTGGTAGCCGGCAGTATTTGGCTTTAACCGGAGTTTGATAACTTCTTTAACAAAAATGTTATCATGGCCAAAAACTGGGATTTTTGACATTTGTATTTGAAAAATAAAAGGGAAATAGTATCGTCAAAATACAACAATATGGGGATCAAAAGATCCATCTTGAAAGACTGAATTCAAAAACTCTGAAATCATGAAATATCCTCTTACATAAATAAAGATGGACATTTGGTTTAAATACAAAATTTAACTATACAGATAAAATTCAAACAAAAAAGATAGGAAGCCAATTCATAAAAATCCTCATTGGAGAAGCAAATGATTTTTGTCTTTGACGTACAAAAAATATAAAAACCGGCCAAGACCAACCCTTTTCTTTCTGAAAGACAAAGTTCCCCCACCCCACATGGGAAAATAGTTGTGAATATTAAAAAGATATATATTTTGAGTTGTGTATTCCCTCGCAGTCTGGAGAATGTTATCAGGAAGTCCTACTCCTCCATGCATTAATCTAACATGCTGCTCCAACTTCTTCCTGTAACAGTTTCAAGTATTAACTCACCAGTTTCATGTATTAACTCACCAGTTTCATGTCTTAACTCAGCACTCACCAGTTTCATGTATTAACTCACCAGTTTCATGTATTAACTCACCACTCACCAGTTTCAAGTATTAACTCATCAGTTTCAAGTATTAACTCACCAGTTTCATGTATTAACTCACCAGTTTCATGTATTAACTCACCAGTTTCATGCCCTTTTCATTTTAATTGACCGACCGACTGACTAACCAAATGATTGACTGGTTTGTAGCCTTTTGACAGACTGGCTAGACAACAGACTGATTGACCGGTTTCTACCCAGTTGACTTCAACAGACGAGCTGACAAACCAAAAGACTGGCTGACTGACCAATATACTGATTGACTAGTTTTCTGCCTTTTGACGTCAACCGACTGACTTACCGACCAGCCGACTTATTTGCTGCTTGTTGAAGTAACCGAATGACTAATTAACTGATGGACCATAAACAACTTGATTATCTAACTGAACTAACTTATGATAAACTCCTAACCTATTTGACAGACTAACAAATGACTTACAAGACTAGCTAACTATCTGATTGAATGACTTACTAACAACTGATAAGACTGCTAAAATAACAAATCCAGCCTAGCTGACTGACGACTGACCTGATATAGAAAACTTTTCCACATTCCATGCAAAGTTTTTTCATATCTTCGGGAACATCACCATCCTAAACATATTCTAATATTTACTGGGTATATATTTTATTTTAAAAATAATGTCCACCCCCCCCAAAAAAAACCCAACATTTTTTAGGCGTTTTTTCTCTCTCGCTGAATTGGGGAGAAAAAAAAAACTGATTTTAAGGGGAAAATTTATTCTGTCTCATTTTTCAGAAAATTATGATTATAACAGAACAAATCTGTGCAACTCCAGATGTAAGAAGTAATGAAATTTAATTGTTTTTTTTTATTATCCAGTTGGTATCTTTTTATTCCATCTGGTTGACCGGAAACCCTGTTTTCTGTTTAATTTGCTTAGGATCCATTACATTTTGATGCAGATCTGGAGCCAGGATCGGCCCAGCAATAAATGCATTACATTACATAATTTCACACCTTTATTATAACCAAGGTACTAATACAAGGAAAGTTAATTGCGGTCTGCGTACATATTGAAACCAGTTCTCTTTGGGCGGACTATGCAAACAAGAATAGATGCATCAGTGTTCGTTTAGTATCCGAGGAGGTTAAAAGCATTTAATTTTGATAATTTTTATAAAATTAACATAATAATTTCCTATGACCAGAATATTTCATAAATAATTTTTGTGAAAATGGATTTCATGTCAGGCTCTGACATCCGTCTTGTTTTTACTTTTCCGCCCAAAGACAGTACATTGCAGTACAAAAAATGTGTACACCTCTGAAATAAATTTCCTTGCATTAGTACCATTATTATTTTAACGAGGAAACATAGGACAACGCACCCTAACTCTATGCAAAGTAATATGATCTTGTTGTTTCTGTTTTCTAGTGAACATCTTCTCACAGCCATAGCGGGGACACTCGTAGGGTACTTCACCCGGGTGCTCATCCTTAGCAATTGATAAATATGATGATAACAACAACTTAATTTTTAGGACACAAAATGTGATATGCAAGTAACTTAGAGAAAATCATAAAATAAAAGTTCAGATTTGCAACTACTTCAATTATAATACAAGATTTAAGTTGATGATGAAAAAAAGTGAAAGGGAAAATATTCTCACCTTAAAATGTTGAACAAACTTGTTTCTGTTGTAATTTGTTTTCCGACAGAATCGGCAGATATTGTCTACATTGATCCCATGCATCCTGGTACAAATCCCATTATTAACCAATCAAACAAACAAACAAACAAACAAAGAAAGAAAGAAACAAAAACACAAACAAAGAAAGAAAGAAACAAACAAACACCCACCCACCCAAAGAAAGAAAGAAAGAAAGAATCAATCAATCAATCAATCAGAGTTTTAGGGACTTCCTACTAGCCACACATAATGCCCAAGATAAATTTACTACATCAGACAAGAGATTAGGACTTGATCTATCACAAAGGGAAACCAGATCGGCAGTCATAGCTTTTAACTATTAAATTGTATGTTAATTAGCTTATGGTAGGTCGCCACCCTCAAATCACACAAAACCACCGCAAACCGAACCAATGTCAATCAAATAAAGTAAAACCTTATTAAACCATACCAAAGGAACTAAAACAAATTAAACCAAAATCAAGATCAACCCAAATCAAATCCATCATTAACTCAAAATGGGGGTTGGGGTGGTTATAGATTATAATAAGAGGTTGCCTAAGATGTGTTTCGAAATGATAAAACTCGTCGAATGCTACTCCAGGTTTCTGGTTCTCAGCTGGATCCATATTTTCTGAATCTGTCATCTGTTCACAAATCTGACAAGTATACGCTTTCTCACCTAACTCAAGGTCAGCTTGATGGGTCGTCCTAGAATCAGACAGGGGTGTATATTTTCTCGCAAAATAATTTTTCTTCCCCCCTTTGAAAATAATTTTTTCCCCTGAAGTTATAAAAAGCTTTTCCGGGTTTTCTTCGCTGAATGAGGGAAAATACATGAATTTTTGGCAGTGCTTAGGATCAATTTAATTTTAATACTAATACTAATACTAATACTAATACTAATACTAATACTAATACTAATACTAATACTAATACTAATACTAATACTAATACTAATACTAATAAAACTTCCATCTTTAATTTCTTTAGCCAAGAGAATTAATAATTGATTAAACTGTAAATAGATTTAATTATAAATATACTTTAAATAAATACTTCAAATTAATTAATAAAAATGTTTTTACCTAATATGTTCATCTAGATGTTTTCCGTACATAATATTTTCTCCACAAAACCTACAGCTAAACGCAACCTGCATACTAGACACCATAGTCTTGGGGTCAATCTAAACATTTAAAATTAGACACTAGACACCATAGCCTTGGGGTCAATCTAAACATTTTACATTAGACACTAGACACCATAGTCTTGGGCTCAATCTAAACATTTTACATTAGACACTAGACACCATAGTCTCGGGGTCGATCGAAACATTTTACATTAGACACTAGACACCATAGTCTTGGGGTCAATCTAAACATTTAACATTAGACACTAGACACCATAGTCTTGGGTTCAATCAAGACATTTTAAATTAGACACTAAACACCATAGCCCTGGGGGTCAATCTAAACATTATAAACTAGACACCATAGTCTTAGGGCCAATCTAAACATTTTACATTAGACACTAGACACCGGGTCGATCTAAATATTATACACTAGACCCCATAGCCTTGAGGTCAATCTTAACACAATACACAAGGCACTTTAGTATTGGGGTCTATCTAAGCATTATACACTAAACACTCTAAGTCTACACACAAAAGCCTTGAGGTCAATCTTAACATTATAAACTAGACACCATATTCTTGGGGTCAATCTTAACATTGTATACTTTTACACTTTAGACACAATAACCTTGGAGTCAACTATAAATCGTAAAAATTTCTCAAAATCATAACCCCCCCCCCTAGAGGTCGGCAAGGAGAGGATTCTGAAACATATATTCCTGAGATATTAATTCTTACCATCATATCAGGATCCACGTTCAGATGGGTTTTCTGATGACTCTTCAACGCATGGAATGACGAGAACCCTTTAGTGCACATATTACAGGTGAACAGCTGTTCTTCATCGGGATGTTTATCCCCTATATGCCTGAAAATAATATTTAAAAGCATTTTTCTATCTATCTATCTATCTATCTATCCATCTATCTATCTATCNATTTATGGCCGAACGAAATAGAGAAACGTTGTTTACAAATTTTTTGATTTGAACGTGGTGCGAAGTGACCTGAAAGCATGGTTTATTACTGTTATTAAAAGACAACCCGTCATTAAAAATCTTGTTTGTCCAGTATTTTTGTATCGGTGGACCAGTCCTTCAATTATACAAAAGCGGGTTAATCTGCTAATTTCTTATAGTTATTTAGGAAAATGAATGAAAACAAAATAGTAAGATCGGTGGGAAAAGGATTTTATAAAGATATTTTCATAAAAAGTATCCGAGTTAAAATGAAGAAATTCTTCAACAATACAATAAAAACAATAAAAACCTAAAATTTACAAACCTGTTTAGTTTACTCTGAGTGACGAACTCGTCGTGATCGCAGAATGGGCAGCTGTAGTTGATCTTGTAGTTGTGATCAGCATCAAGATGCTCCAACACTTCATCATATGTCTTGAAGTTTTCCTAAATATTAAAACCTTGATTATTGCTTTATCTTTACATTTGGGACCGTCCCTTTGCGCTCGAATTCTGAACGAAAAATCGGCTTTTCTCCGGCCACAGTTGTCTTTAAAAAGTAAGTCCAATACTAATCAATAGCGAAGAAGCTATTTAATTTACCCCGAAATTACCTAAATAAGTGAACGGTCCCTTTAAATAAATGTGCATGAACTTTTTTCCTCTATCAATTTGAAAGTTCAGGCTGTGGATATCGACGTGGCTAAGCGCTATCCACTGTGATCTTGCCAGCCTACATTTGTTGCATGAAACGTGCTGGGTTGACTTTATACAGTACAACAGGCAACTTCCCAAATATGCAATGAGGGCCGAGCGCTGCGGGTAGGATGGGCTAGGGGTCCGAGCGCTGCGACTAGAACATGTTTGAGACTGAGCACTGCGGCCAGGACAGACTTGGGAAGTTACCACTTGGGAAAATGCCTTTGGGAAAGTACCTAACATCTACAGTACATGTTGAACCGGCTCAAATCATGCAACTTTTAAAGTGGGGTGTATCCAATTCAAAAGTTTTAATTCAGTGCAAACTTAATTTATAATTTACTAATAATCCCCGAACGAATTAATGGCCCTGAATTTTTTATATTTTATCATACCTGGCAAGCTAAACAATAAAACGGAACTAGTAAATCCGGATGTTCTTCAGCAAAATGTTCTTCAGCTTCAGAACCTTTCAAATCAAATCAATATTTAAAGCGACTGTACGCGTAATTTTAAGTAACACTTAATGCAAAGATGACAGTGTCCGATTCACAACGATTCACCCTTAACAGTTAACAGCTTTGTCTAATAAAGAATGAATTTGATATATATATATGTATATATATATATACATATATACATCCATGTTTATAATTTTGAAAACTACTTATTTTGAATTGTGGTTTCGATCTCTATACAAAAGTGACTTGCGAATTTCTACTGCAGAAAAACATATAGGAATTATCATAATTAAACATTATAATTAAACCTAGAAAGACGACAATATCAGATAACCTCGTGAATAGAACACACCAACTTTGCACAAAGAGTCACTGAAATATTGCTTAGTCCTTTTAAATAAATGTACAATTGTACATACATAAAGTTTGTTGAAATAAACACGAGTAATAAGTGACGACAGAAAGCTAGAAAACTCCTTAACACAAAGATTCACAAAAGGTAGTCGTAGTCCAAACTTCAGTTTATTGAACAAATGTTATAAATGCCATGAAAAAAAATACTTTTTGGAACAAATATGATTTTTAATGTCGACTTTTGATTCCGAAGCTTCATAGGACAATGCAGGCGTCTATAAATTACAAGGAATTTTTTTTATGTCACTCATATCTCCTCAGCATTTTCTTTTTCTTGCTCGTTCTTTCAAACGGATGATGGCTGGATTTGAACTATTGCGAAAAATAAATGATTTAAAAAAGAAAAAAGTTGCATTGCCATTTTGACTTCTTTTAATTGTCCCCAATTCTAAGGAGCGATGTTAAATGGGGGGGGAAAAAATTAAAACTGAATGGAAACTAACCTTTTAACGTCTCTTTCTGTCTCTTCTAGTAGCTGTGAAACTATCTCTGCGCGCTTGAAGTCAAAAAGATGAATTGTTTTCAGAATGCGGGTAATCGGTGTGCGCCCCGGAATAAAATGCTCACTAAAAATCAAAGTTTTGTTAAGTTTTAACCCGTAAATTTTTATTTGTTATAAAGTTTTAATGATCACATTTGAGATTCATGCTTTGGGGGGAAAATTAAATTTTTAGCAGGTTTGACCCAACTCTGACGACAGATTGTGTCACGTGATTGACAGCTGGTAGATCTTCGGCTCGACTTAAGGAGTTAGGTCCAATGAAAACAAAACTGAGCTTGGTTGGTTTTAGTGGAGAATAAGGCTCAATGTTGCGTCTTGTTCTCATTCAACTGGGAATGCGTCAATTCCTACCATGAAAATCCGCCAAATATAATATTAAACTGTTTTTTTTCTTCACTCAACTCTGTGGAAAATAAGATGCAGCTTGAATCCGAAAGCTCAAGCCGTAAATAAGGTCAAACGACAGCTTAGACCCGAGCCGTATTTCCCCGAGTTTTTAAATCGCGAGCTCTGATAAAATTGTGGAAGCCAAAATGTTGCGGTCATATAAGTTCTCACCTAATAAGTTGTGTTGGTTTTCCAACTTTAGCAATCCGTACTGGACAACGGAGGAAGTGGGTTCGCTCAAAATATCTAAAATAAAATCATAAAGGAATTCATATCTTTATGATAGTTTCAGTTCTAGTTATGCTACCTGGGGGTAAGAATTACACCTCCCCCATTGCAGGGGGATGTATAATTTATTTAAATGTAAATTTTCTTCGTCGTCCATGATGCACAAGAAAAGTAAAAGAAAAAACGATAAAAATTACCAAATCATAAATTCAATAAGAAAAATAGCAGTAATTTCGGACAGACAATCAATGAAACAGACTGCTTAGACGCCAACTGTAACTGTTGTACCTGATATTTCCCATGATAGTTCTGCCGATGTTGACCCTCAGCTTGTTAGCACAAAGTCCACACTTAATCTGGTGACCCCGATTCACCACAGTGGCATTCCCAAGGGCGTTCAGGAATGTCCTCAAATGATTATTTTCAAAATATATTATTATATATATATATATGTTAGCTATAGCTGGCTAAACTACTGAACAAAAGTGACTGACATTTTTAATATGTAAAAGTACTCCGGGGGTAAAAATACTTAAAAATATTTAATTTTTTTTCTTCCAAATTATATTTTTTGTTCAAAGTTCAATTTTTTAAATAAAAAATAAAACTTTTTTAATTTCGAAATTTTTTTCCCAAGTGTTTCTAAAATTCTACGGGCAACGCCGGTCTATTCATCTGGTTTTCAGTAAACTTACCTAATTGTTTCTATAGGCGGAACTTCTGCCTTTCTCCGTCCCTGAGCAGTTCTGAAATTGTCCTCTTCCTTCTGTTTGACATGAGTTCTACAAAAATATATATAAATCTAGAGCCTAGAGGCCCCGGTTGTTGACAGAATTTCAAGTGACCCTCCATAGAAAGAGAGACAGGTCTGATTAACAAAGAAACCATGTATAAGCTTTGTCTGATCAAGTTTGTGGATAATGATAATTGAAAACATAATATTTTCTACTCACAGATAAACATCTTCCAAGCAGTCCTGGTCATTTTGCTCATTTCTTGATTCATCCTCAGAGTCTAATCCTTCCGTTCTATTCTTTAAACATCTAGACATCAATATATATATTATCTATTTATGTAACTGTATTGTGTAAATTCTTTTCTAAGGGACCGATCACTTATTTTGGTCTAAATAAAGGTATCATACCTTTGTGCCGGAATTTGAAAAGATAATCGGCTTTTAGTCTGGTCTCTGGCCACAGTTATCTGTGAAAAGTAAGGCTAATAATACCAGATCCATTGGATCCGCCAGATTTTTGCCTCCTGGTTCCGGATCCGGATCCACAAAAAACTGAGAAAAAAAATTACTCTCAAACCCAAAATCTAAACTGCTAAAAAGCTATTTAGTTTCCCTGAAATTACGCAAATAAGTGAACGGTCCCATTAAATTAACATATTTTTTAAGATTAAGTACTTATTCTGGTTTGTTTGAGGTTTAATTTAAAATTTAATAATCAGGGAATAAATTTCTTGACTTTTAAATCACAATTAATATATTCAATTCAAATCGAAAAAGTATTTGGATGAAAGTTACAATAAACTAGGCTGTTAGGGAACATTTTGTCTCTTAACGTACAATAATCTAGGCTGTTAGGGAACATTTTTTCTCTAACTTACAATAATCTAGGCTGTTAGGGAACATTATGTCTCTAACTTACAAAAATCTAGGCTGTTAGGGAACATTATGTCTCTAACTTACAATAAACTAGGCTGTTAGGGAACATTTTGTCTCTAACGGTTGCTTTTCAAGCAAAATATTTCCGCGGATTTTCCTGATTTAAAAATTAATAAATGTCGATATTTTTCTTAGAGGCAAAAATTTAACCGTAAAAAAGTCCTTCCCAAGAGTCATGTGAGTTGCCAAAAAAATTGACCCGATTGGTTTCTGATGTGAAAAGGTTTAAATTTTTTTTTTTTTGGTCAACATTATGCTGTAAAAAGAACTTACTTGTTATAATGTAATTTCTTGAAGAAATTAATTCTAGCTTTGGTTTTCTTATCTTCAGGTACATGTACAGTCTTATCACATAGTCCACACTCTACACAGCTTCCATTCCTGTACAGTGTACAAACACATATTACTTCCGTACATGAATAAACGATTTATCTATGAGTTTAATATAGCCCTGAAATATGAATGCAATTAATTTATAAATATTATACTCAATTTTCCGCGGCATTTGATCTTAAATATGCTAAGAATACGACATTATAAAAAAAACTCTTGCTATGTATTCATATATCTGGGATTCACTGAATTGGAAATTCGAGATGTTTCGTTCTTCTCAAAAGCGCTTCAATTAAAGGAGTTATGGATGAAAACGTTAAGATTTTAATCTAATGTAAAATTAACTTTAGTTTGACGTGTACCTTGAAGCCGACGATTCACCGAGTTCAATCAGCGCTTCCTCGAATTCGTCCAGGTCAAAACTCGTCCTTCGTTTACGCTTATACGAGTCTCGTCTAGATATCAATCAATCAGTCAATTAACCAACCAATCAATCAATCAATCAAGAGGCACATATAATACCCAGGATGAATTTATTATATAAATAAAGCTAGATAATAATAAAACGAAAATATCTTCAAAATGTCCAAATAAGCATTGTACAGATAATGTTGTCAAAAAGAAAAGCAATAACATAATATTGTGGATCATTTAGGGCACCTTTCAAACTAGGGTGCCAATATCTTCTATGTAATAAAGCTCTTCGCTCATATATATACATAGATTTGTATATTTGTTAGCTATGGTTAGCAAACGCCGGGCTGGACCAAACGGGCTGACGGGTACAGAAAAAGGGCGAATTCATTTTTTTTTTCAAAATTAGATTTTTTTGAAGCATTGCTGAAATTTCACGGGCAACGCCGGGCACTTCAGGTAGTTATCATCAGATCACCTGACATAATCCTCGTCTTCGTCATCGAACTCATCGTCGTCCACCACAAAATCGTCACTATCAATTGGATCCGATTTAATCTAAAATAGCAAAATATTGAGAAAATGCAATTATTTTTTGTTAAAGGGTCCCCCCAAAAAAACGAGACATAAAACTGTTTAAATGCAACAATCTGTAGAATTTTGACAGGAGTGTACAGGGTTACTCGCAAAGAAAATAAGACTATGAAGAGGACTTAAAGGGAGTGACTGGCAACGTATGGTAGTTGAACTGAGATTGCAGTAATGTTGAGACATATTTTAGAATTCATTTGAGACCTATCAGACGTTTTCACTGTGCATATTTGTTCAGCAGGAGTGCAAATTTAACATGTAAAATATTACAGTTAACTAATTAGTTGTTTAGGAACAGGTTCATATAGTAAAAATTGAATCTTATCATTGAAAATAAGTAATATTTTTTAATTATTGGTTTCTGTAATGTCTACCTGTTCAAAAACATTTTCAGTAGATTCATAAAGAATAAGAAAATCAACATAATAATGAAAAAGAAACATTTCATTCTAATCATAAAGAATAAGAAAATCAACATAATAATGAAAAAGAAACATTTCATTCTAACATTTAGAAATGTGTTCCTAACCATCTAATTAGTTTACTGTTAGTTACTGTGTTACATTGTTCTTTGTCGTCTTTTAATAATTTTTATAAAACCGATTCTCAAAATCATCACTCCAAAATGGACAATCAAGTAGGATTTTATATATTGAATTTAAAATCTTGCTGAACAGATATGCACCTTAGTCTGATTATAGGTCTCAAATAAATCCACAAAAAATTCTCTACAAAACTGCAATCTCAGTTTAAATACCATACATTGCCGGTCATTTCTTTTAAAACTTTTCAAAAATAACGAGATCCCAAGATTAAAACAATATAGACATGAAAAAAACTCAGTAGTAAAAAGCTTGCAATATTGAGTGAAATAACGAAGCATAGTTGCACACTAACTATATTTACAATATAACGATACAAGCGGTTAGTGTTGGACAAACTATAGTTTATCTAAATACACACGAAATTTGCCTGAGGCGAATGTATTTCAATTCGACTCTTCTGATCAGATACTTTGTTAGAACTGATAAGGTCTTGGGGGATAAGATGGCCGACAATACTGCCTTCGTCCCTAACCAGATAAATGCCGTTTCACTCCTTTCTCAAGCATCGATTATCCCTTAGCTCCGCCCTTTATACGGTACCGACTTAATATCTTCCAGACAAAATACCCCCGCGAGCCTCAATATCCTCTTGGGTTTAGGTCTAGATTGTTTGGCTTTATTCTTGGATTGATTTGTTTGGCTTTATTTCTTTGTTTGGAAGCAATAAACTGTACGATACTATATAAATGTGGGAGAACCCTTGGTTGGATTCACTATGGTCTCCTGTCTTAAAGGGAGTGTTCGCGAAAAATGAGAGGGGGTATAGGCTTAATGTGATAAAAAAAGCACTTTTGATCGCTATTAATCTTAATTCTTCTGTTGCGTCTATCAGGAGAAAATTGCTAAAAACGACTCACACCGAAGAACGCAGCATCCATACAAATTCGGAAAGATGCAACATTCAACTCGGATCGTAAACAAATCAATTTAATTTTCGACGCATTCTAAATAGTTAATATTTCAAAATATTTTGTATTTTTCATGATCTGAGAGTTACGTTTGAAAACATTTATTCCTGTTTCGAGGATTTTTTTATAATGAAGACGACATTTTCATATTTTCCAGGAATGTTCGAAAATCCAGCGCCAGCAAAAATTCTTTAAAAAAAAAAATTTAAAATATTATGAAATATTAACTGTATACGAATGCATCGAAAAATAATCAATGACTATTGCTGAATTATTTGTTTGGAATTAAATTGATTTGTTTACGATCCGAGTTGAATGTTGCATCTTTCCGAATTTGTATGATTTGTCAACGAAATAAAGACATTTATAGTTGCAGAGAATCATGAATATAAGGAAATTAACAGATTAAATTCTGTACAGTTGTCTCTTAAGTCTTATTCATTGTAAGTACATGAAGTCTTTAAATGTTGAACAAACTGATAAACAAGTTTACAGATGTAGAAAACCATATTGCAGGGAAAACGATTAAATAAACTAAATAACAGCCGTCTCTGAAGCATATGTGAATTTGTAAAATTTCGAGTTTCACAATTTTGAATAAAAAAGCCGTTTGAAAATCAATATTTAACGCTAAAAGAGGCGCTAAGCGTTTTAAAAGCCTTCTAATTTAAATAAGATTAAAAGAAAAAGGTAGCTGTAAAACTAAAATTAAGCGCGTTATAAACAGACTAGCTTAAGAATCCAGTGTTAACCAGGGTACTCGTAGTTACTCCCGCCGTTTACCCGCGTTTGGTCGATTATTATGATTTTAACTATGTTCCCTATAAAAGTTGACCCACTGAACTTAGAAATCAAGCTACAAAAATTCCTGTGGTTCTTCCGAGTTAGTTCCCTAATCTAAAAATTAAGCAATTCGGTGAAGGGGTTAATGCGCTATGATCGGACATACAAACAAACGAACAGAGATTAAAAACTTTATATATATAAAATTAAAATACAAAAGTTTTGACCTGAGGTGGAGATTCTGGTTTGACCGGCGTGACTTGTTCTCCTCCAGCTGTTGGCCAGATATTACTCCAGTTTCTATTCTCGTTCCTTTTCTTTTCCTCCTCCTCTTCCCACTCCATTCTTAAACATGTATTGGATTTTAAAAACTAAGATAATTCTTTTTGGGGAGGGGGTGGGGTACAAAACGTCGATTATCAAAATGTCGATACTACAAAACGACGAATGCTACAAAACGTCGAATATTACAAAAAGTAGAATATTACAAAGCGTCGAATATTACAAAGCGTTGAATACTACAAAACGATCATTCTACAAAACGTCAAATTTCAAAACGTCGATTATAAAAATGTCGAATACTACATAACGACGATTGCTACAAAACGTCGACTACTATAAAACGTTAGATACTACAAAATGTCGAATACTACAAAACGTCGAATACTACAAAACGTCGAATACTACAAAACGTAGAATACTACAAAACGTCGAATACTACAAAACGATGATTATCAAACTGACGTAAACTACAAAACTTTGAATACTACAAAACGACGAATGCTAAAAAACGTCGAATACTATAAAATCTTGAATACTACAAAACGTCGAATACTACAAAATGACGACTGCTAAAAATTGTCAAAATTACAAAACGTTGAATAAAAAAATGTTAAATTATGTAGGGTTAGTTCAGGTTAAGAAATTTTTTGGCCGAGCGCTACGACAAGAACAGGCTTTTACAGTTTAAAAATTTAAGAAACTTAAATAAAAGAAACCTGAAATGATCAAAGGTTTAAAGGGTAAAATTGTAAATATGGTCACTTAAAATTACGCTAACCGCTAACCTTCCGTTTTTATCGTACAAATGAACATAAAGTTGTAAATTCAGATAAAAATTTCCGGGGGTTTACCCCATTCTTTGAAGAAATAAACAATTAATTTTAAAAGCTTCCATTTGTGAACTTTTTTCTAATCGCAAGTTTTATTTTCCATTTCCAAAAATTATTGAATTAGCTGATTTCAGTTCGGCATAAAATTAACTTAATTGGAATGACTCTCTACATCTTAGAAATAGATTTGAGTCATTGCCACATTTAACAGTAATAATGTAGTGGTTTTTTTAGAGGCCTTTATTTCTGCAAATTTATGGTTGACTATTGACTAATTATTATATTTTATTCACGTATCTACCTCTTCATCCTTTCCTCCTGTACTTTCTGAATCTCATGAAGAACGCTTTCAACACTCTGCTGAAACTTGAGAACGGAGGCCAGGGCAGCTCCTCCTCCATCCTCGGCTATTCCAGGTACAATCTCTACTCACAAATTCATGTATCAATAAAGCTATTAATGAATCTATTATAAATCAAAGAATCAATGAATAAATGAATCAGTCAATCAGTCAATCAATCAAGGAATATATCAATTAAAAGACTTATCAATCAATGAATCTGTAAACTAATAAACTAATGAGTCAGTGAATCTACAAATCTTTTAATCAATGCATTTAATATTCAATGAATATATGAATCAACGCATATACCAACCAATGCATCTATTAATCAATGAATATACCAACCAATGCATCTATTAAACAATGAATATGTCTATCAACGAATATACCAACCAATGCATCTATTAATCAATGAATATATCAACCAATGAATAAACCAACCAATGCATCTATTAATCGATGAATATATCAATCAATGAATATACTAACCAATGCATCTGTTATTCAATGAATATATCAATCAATGAATATACCAACCAATGCATCTATTATCCAATGAATATATCAATCAATGAATATACCAACCAATGCAGCTATTAATCAATGAATATATCAATCAATCAATATATCAACCAATGCATCTTTTAATCAATAAATATATCAATCAATCAATATACCAACCAATGCATCTATTAATCAATGAATATATCAATCAATCAATATACCAACCAATGCATCTTTTAATCAATGAATATAATAATCAATGAATATACTATTATTCAATGAATATATTATTCAATGAATATATTATTCAATGAATATATCAATCAATGAATATACCAATCAATGCATCTATTAATCAATGAATATATCAATCAATGAATATATCAATCAATGAATATACCAATCAATGCATCTATTAATCAATGAATATATCAATCAATGAATATACCAATCAATGCATCTTTTAATGGAGGATTCAGCCTACAGAGGAACCAACCAATCCATCCATTAATGAATATATTTTAGCATGAATCTATCGGTGAATGAATGAATCATTACATTTTAATAAAAAATCAGTTTTATCAGCAATTTCTTTAAAATTCTTTAACCTTATCAAAAAAAAGTCACAACACTTAAGAAACGAGTAGACAGGACAAAAGATTAAGACACAAGAAACAATTAGGATGGCACTTTAAGATCAACCTAAAAGTAACTAGCAAGGAATTAAAAATAAAAGGATCACAAAACACGAAGTAAAATATATCGTTCAATGACTAATAACACTGATAATCAAATCAAATCAGACTTTGAGGGATGTCCTACAATGACTTTACTAATTCTCAAGTTTAATGTGGGCTTATGATTCGTAAAATAACCTTAACTAATCAATAATAAACTTGGTAACTTATTAACCCTATCTCTGCTAACAATACCTTCGGAGCTGACAGTTTCATCTTTTGGCAAAGAACTAAGTATCATCTGAAATAGAAAAAGATCTTTAAAATGTTGAAAACTTTTTACCAAAAAATTGATTTTTCAAGAAAATAAATATCCTTCCCAATCCAATCCAAACTAAGAACAGCGGAGGTATAATATTTGTTTAGTTTATATAAACCTGTTCCACGGGTTCCTTGAGCATATCCCCAATACAGCCGAGCAGACTGGAGATCTCAACGAGGTGAGGAATATCGGAGTTCATGAGAACTACATTTCCACCACACATCAAGTCAAGCACCTAACATACAAATATGTTTTACACTAACTTGGGACCCTGGCGCTGACCAGGTTACTCATTATAGTTACTCCCGCCATTCACCCGAACATGGTCGATTTTTCCGGGAAACTAAATTTTTGCGTTAAAAGTCGACCCAATCGATTTAGACTCTCAAAACCATGTTAAGAATGTTCCCGTGGTTCTCCCGAGTTCCCTAATCAAAATGTGTGACAAATCGGTAAAGCGGTTCATGAATTATAATCGGACAAGCTAACAGACAAACAGAGATTTCAACTTTATATATCCATAGATTTTGAGATAAAAATATTAATAATAACTTTAATGATGATACTGATTAGATACTTAACTTTCATAAAAATCGTCCACGTTCAAAAATGGCGATATCGTCCACATTTTATTCGATAAGGTTAAGGTTAATAAGGGTTCTGTTACGTGTAGGATCACTTGAAATTACCAGAGGCAAATTTAAAGAGGAGGGAGAGGGATGGAAACAGGATAAGAAGGGAGGAGGGAGGGTGGGTGGTGCATGGTGATGGTTGNTTCACTTAAAACCTGCAGTTCTCCTTTAAAAAATATTCATATTTTCACCTAACCCCTACATGTCAAAAACGTTGATGCGACTCTAAAATGAGGTATTAAATCTAAAGCCCCCCCCTCACGGCAAATGCGAGATGTGTTCTGAATTTATTAATATCCTAAATATTTCTTTCCTTAAGTAGAACGATTTTTGGACCTTACCCTAAAATAATGTTATGTAAATAGTATTAACTCGTGTTGCAAAATAGTTGAAATCAGGGTCATTTTGCACAGATTATTTACTAGGACAGGACCTCCTTTAATAGCTGTAATAAACAAATTATTCTAATCTAAGAGATTAGAATGATTCAAATTTTATTAATACCTTTTAAGCTCAAGATATTTCGATATAAGATAAATGTTTAATTTGATTCGTGTTTACATTCAGAAAAATGAGCGCGGTTGCCGCGGAAATTCCGTTGCGTTAAGACTATGATCCAGAATCTAGAAACAATGAGTACAATTCGAGGTGGAACCAACCTGCTTCATCTGTTTTGTTGTAACAAAGGGAAGAATAAGTGTCTGAAATCTTGAATCTTCAAACTGAGCAGCTTGAATCAGGAGCTGTTTTATCCAGGTGCTGGCAGCAGCTAGTTGAACCTAAATTTTAAGGATGAAAAGCAGCAGAATTTGCAGCTCACGAAAGTAGAAACTATGAAAACATTGTTGTCGTCATTCTTTCTTGTAAATATGATTGTCACATTTTGAAAAGGGTTTAATTGATTTTTCTATGCCCAGGGATTCGTAATTATTTCAGTAACTGGGTCGATAAAGTGAAAAGTCCTTCCATAACTCAATGAAAATGATTTTTAAAAAGAGGCAAATTTGAAATTCATCTCGGTTTTACTAAACAATGCAAAATGCTTGCTCTGACGAAGAAAGGCTTAAAAAAAGACATTTGCTTTTTCTTAAAGGACTGCACACGTGATTTCAAGTGACCCTCAATTTATAGAGTAGTATGTACTATGCACAACTGTACACTTTAAACCGTTCATTAATCATTATATCCGGAGTTTTCCACCTGAACTTTGATTATTCAACATTTCAAAAAACGACTATATTGTCCTCAAAATTAAACAAATAGAGAGGTTCATAGGATTCGGACATTAAACTTTTTTTACGGTGGGCCACTTGACAATACGTCTTCAATCCCTATCAAGAATAAGAATAAAACTCTGCTAAAAACTACCTGTGATCCCGTGAGTATCCCGTCTGAACAGTAAATAAGAAGATCAGGTTGACCGATGAGCTCGCCGGGCCAGCAAACACCCGACTCGGCGATCAGTCGAGCGACGCTCATGTTTATCTGAAATATTTAAATCAAATAAAAAACAAAACCACAATAAAGGGACTAGAAACGTAATTTAAAGTGAACTTTCTCTTATTAAAGGGTATTTCGAGTTCCCAACAGTTATCGTACAGAATAAGTGAGATATCCATGTTTTTCTCCACAAAATGGATTGTTATTAGCTGTGGATTTTCTGAATAAGTGACTATTGAGTTCCGGATTTTTACTGGAAATGATCAAAGTTATAATTTTAAGCAAAAAGTCTTCGATATTATTAATAAATTAAAGATTTTAAGGGTACCGCTAGTGAACCAGGCACACCCATCTTTAAATGTAGAAAAGAAATTGAAAATCAACGCAGGTCCCTCCTACGAAAAAAAAGTCAATAATAAATGCCAGGGATGAGATTGATTGGTTGAAAAACTCAGAACAATTATAATAAACACGGTGAATATCAACATCATATTGCATTAGAGCATGGTAGGGGTTTAGGGTTTTAAATATATTTAATGTCGAAGTGGTATTTATTTATTACAACCGTATTGCAAAGAATTATATCTTCACAATCAATTATTAAACCTTCACGTTTATACAAAATAAAAAACAGCTAAAATTGAATATTAGTTGTTACAAATACTGCCAAAGAGTCTACATAAAATTAAGTACAGGGTGTCCCACATCAAATTAGACCGCGTCAATGGGTCTAAATTACGATTTGGGGGAAAAATCAGAATATTTAATAAGGCTAATAGAAAATTTTGTTGGCAGAAAATGCTAGATTTTTCGCGTATTATGTGCGTATTTTGGCGTTAAAAATTGTAAAAAAAATCCATCAAAAATCATAGCTGAAAATCTTGACCAAATCATATAATAGTGGCCATTATGTGATTAATAAATTTTATTTATGGACCAAAAAATATTTCTGAATTTTGTTCAAGAAATAATGAATATTTATTGAACTAAAACATGAAAAACTAGCTTTGATGAAAACAACATTTATTCCCGGTTTTTCTTGCTCACGTTGAAGTTGGGAATATATATTTAAATATTGCAAACACCATTTAGAAAATTATTGTATTGATAAAGCAAATATCCTTATAAATCTATTGCATATAATACAATAGTCCTGCATCTGCTAATAATCAAGTTATTTAATTATAATAAATTCTTAGCAACAAATATAAGTAAGTATGGACTTAATGGAATTGTTGATGAAAATCAGGATTTGTATTCAGGAGTTTGTCTGGGGCCCCTGAATACGCCTCTGATGGATATTTAGATTTATATGATGACCTGATAGAGTTCATAAAGTTGAGCTATTTGTTCTTCAGTGAAATTCTCCAGATCTGATTCTCCTAATCAAATTTAATCAAGTTATATCTATTAATTTAAAGTAGCCATCTCTGTTTGCATGACTCATAAAACTTTTGCCCGCTTTGCCAAAATTTTGATTGGGGATCTTGATAGAACAACATGAATGTCCAAAGATTGGTTTAACATTTCTAAGTTGAGTTTCCTAGCTAGTATAATACAGACCCCTTGTGATAGTTTTATTTTCAGTTTAGCCCAAGCAAGAGAACTGAAATGGGAATTTTGGAAATTCTACTTGCTTCTCCCTAAAGACCATACAATTTAAGAACATAAAAAATTTAAAATGTACATCATTTTCCATAAGATCAGGTGTACCTAGCAGAATAAACTTTACTATTGGTGAAACTAAAATTCCAAATATATTTCAAGAAGAGCAGAAATTCCTTAGAAAACTTCTATTTCCTACTGGTAAACTTAGTGATGCGTTTGATTACATCAAGAGTGAATTTGAAACAAAACTCATAAATATGAATACATTTCTTATTCGGGATGAATATAAAGTCTGGATCTACAAACATTATTTCATTCCTTCTATTCCGTTTCTGTTCACTGTTCATACAAAATCACAAAGCCATCTGAAGAAACTAGATACGTTCACTGATAAATTTGTGAGAAAAAATGGACTGGATTACCACCCTGTGCAACAAATGCTGCTCTACACTTAAAACCTGGCCTAGACATTACTTCAATATCCACCCTGTACAAAACAACTATGACACAAGGATACACTAGGATAAGAATACTGGGTAATGAAACAGTTCACTCTGCCTTAAAATTTAAATTAGACAGGGAAAAAAATTGGCTCTGCAAAAATTCCATTACAGACTATGCAGAAAAAAATTTTCAACAAGCCACATTAGAGAACTATGGTCAAGCAGAAATACCTAAGTGGGATGACCAAGCTTCCAAAAATCAATGCTATAAAAAATGAAACAACCGCAGTGAAAAAGTATTTTTTGAAAATGAAACTTTCTGGAGAGAACATACAGAAACACTCATAAAACAAGGACATTTTCTCTGCCTGGCAATGCTTGAAAAATCTGACATGATCTGGAAATCTTACATATTCAACCTGAAGAAAGGTACACTGAAATTCCTACTCAAATCCTGTTTGGACACTCTGCCAACACAAACAAACCTTCTACAATGGGAAAAATCTGCATTAGATCTCTGTAAACTATGTTTACAGTCAGGCGCTGAAATGCAAGGTAGAAGACAAGAAACTACAAACCATATTTTGAATGGCTGCAAGGTTGCACTACAGCAAAAAAGATAAAATTTGAGGCACACAATCTTATTAAATATATCACTGGATTAATTGATATTGGCCGATTTTTGATGTATGCTGACATCCCGACCCATACCCTTCACACTGTCTATATTAGCGGAAATTCGGAATGACTACCCAAATGATTTGGAGCTATAATAAGTGGGCCCTGGAATATCTTTTTCAAAAAAAATTCAAAAATAAAAAATTAGCAAAAAAAATATATATTTTAGATTCAATATTTTTTACATTAAGAAAAAAAAAAAAAAAAAAAATTGTATGCTAATTCTATGATTTTTGATGTTTTGTGTTTGGAGTAGATACATAGGGAATATTATACACTATGTTTATTCCAATCTAAGATTTCAAATGGCCTTCCAGGGGGAAGTATTGTCCCCCTCCCCCCTCCTTGTGACCGCACAGAAACCAGATCTAGTAATTATCGATAGAATGGAGGAAAAGATGGATATTTTAGAGCTTACTGTCCCATTAGAAACAAATATCAAAAATGCCAACGCTCAAAAGATGAACAAGTATAATTGGCCAGTATGAATAGATAATGATTAAACGAGCTATAGCTATGCATATGCAATAATGAATCTAACTAGGGTGTTAATAGCTAAAAGAGTTTGGGAAACATATGCTAAAACCAGCAATCTTGTACTGTGCGGAAGCTTTAACTATTAAAAAAGCACAGAAAGGAACTAGAACGAATTCAAAATATGATTGGTAGATTTATACTCCAGGTTCCAGCTTCAACTTCAAGAGCGCTGGCTTGGATAGATGCGGGTCTTATGCCAATGTCATATAGAATACTTAACAAACAAGCTTTGTTTATGTAAGGTATTATTAAAACAAAAAATAATCCAACCCTCACAAAAATTTCAAGACAAGCATTAGAATACCCAGCAGATGCTTACACTATATCATAGATGAAAATAGAAGCTCAAGTTGGTTTAATTGCAAATTATGCTAAGAAAACTCACTTGCAAGCTGCGATAACACAAAAAGCAGTGGCATTTGTATTGAGTGTTAAAAGGCAACACTTTACTTTAAACACAACCCCCCAGCCCTGGCATTGGTTTAAAATGCAGGAGCATGTAAATGATTCAAAGGCAAGTAAAATTTCATGTCAAGTCAGGGGAGGAAATGCTCAATTAGGCAATAGATACAAAAACAGATATGGTTTTAAGTATGAATTTTGCCCACACTGCGAAACATTTGGCCTTCATATTTAACTAGTTGAATCTCATGTTATTTTAGAATGTCCAATGGTAGCCGACGAGAGTTAAAATTATCTAATTACATGGCTGCACATAAGGCCAAGGGACCAATCGCAAATGTTAAAATACTAAGAAGTTACCTTGGCGGAGATAGTTCAAAGGGGAAATCCCTAAGGGAAAGAGGTAGAAAGCTGGAAAAAATAATTGAAACATGGCAAACAACGGTACATGAACCAGCTCATTTTTAAAACGTAGGCAGTCAATTTTGTACTTATTTATTATTATATTACTCTGTCTTTTTCTAGTTAAATCAAGCAGTACGCTTAAAACTTGTTTTTAATTAAAATAGGCTGTCTTTCTTAATATCATCCATTCTGAACCAAAACCTGATTTACTCAAAGTTTATTGAGTTATCTTTTCACAATAAAAATGCAAGCGAGGCTTAACTCAGGCAAGGTGGCATCGCAACAAAATATTTTCCCAGTAGAAATGAAGGCAGGTAATTCCAATATTCTATTTAATCAAATTTAATTTAATCCTTATTTTTTATAATACGGAGAAACTAGAAAGGCTAAAAGGTTTACCATTGGCTTTTCAATAAACATCTATTTCAGTTTTAACGCTAAAACTATGAGGAAGCCTAAAAACGTTTTAATTAAATCATTTCTATAACCTTTTAAGTTTGACCGACTAGTTAGATTCACATTATTTATGATTTACCAAACACTTTGATTTTTCTCGAACAGATTTGTGTACTGTTCAAAATGCTATTTAAAGCATTTTTAGGACTCCTTACATATCTGGCATACACACTGAAACCTTAAAATTCAAACCCGATATGATCCATGAGACCCACACAGACACAAGAAGTGGCTGGAGCTCGACCCTGGAGTTCAACGTACCATTGCCATCAGGACATGATTCTTTAATTGTAGGTTGATTGTTAATAATAATAATAATAATAATGAACATTTTATCCTAGATTATAACAACTAGAGATGTGTCTGTTCACCCTTTTAAAATCAGCTCAAGAAGATAAAGCAAATAAAGCAAATCTACAGAAACTGCATATGTTCTACAAACCCAGTGTCAGTTTCAAAGCAATGTGGAGAAAATCTATCAAGCCTTGCAGTGCTGTCATCATACCACATCTTTAGAAAACGAAAAACACTAGACTGGGACCAAGAAACTCCATTTCTGAAAACCACCTCTGAATAACTTAACTATACTCATGCTAAGAGTCTTTTAATGCATCTGTTTTATTTTGGCAAACCCGTCAATCAAAAAATGCAATATCCAGAGAAAAGAGTAATAGTATTTAATTGTAAACTTTTATATTGTTTAATGTAAATTGCGTTAGACAAATATAAATGATGAATATATAGACGTTTTTCTCTAAACTATTGAAAGGATGAAAACCGGATTTTATGACAAATATACTTAATCAACATGACTGATGCAAGCTAATTTATTTTTGGTCAAAGTTTATATGACTTTATGGGTATCAAAAGATCCCTCTTTGAACACAGAATTCAAAAAACGTTTTAATCATACAAATCTTAAGTAAAAGTGAGAAAAAATGGTTGTTAGGGAGTCCAAAAATAACCCTTTCTGAATCATGGCTCAACTAATTTTTAAAATATCGAAGACCTTAAATATCGCAGATCTTTAGATACCCATGTAAAAAAACAAATCAATAAATAAAAGATCAACCATCAAGCATGTTTTGAAGACAGTTGATCCTATTATTTTCTGTGTTTAAAGACAATATCATGCACTTTGATGGTCTAAAATCAATTATGTCTTGCTTTGATATTTCACCTCATCATCCTACCCTGTCTAGCCACTTCCATAAGCAAACTACATCAATTTATTTCTAATTAAAAAATAATCACACTACTGTACATTTATGACATTAACATTTACTATATTACATACAGCTGGAGACCATTTAAAATAACATTAATAGTTAAAGATTAAACCTAGTACTGGGAGGTCATTATTGGTTATGTTAGAAATCTGAGAGCTAATCAAATTGAAGTGCCAGAGATTCCAAGTAACCTATACTGATCTGAAAACAAATTAAAGGATTTTTTGGCATTTACTTTAATTTGACCAATATGAAATAAAATTGTTGCGAGGTTGCTGAAAAAATTGTGATTTATCCAATAATTATCACTAAAGAAACAACTTAGCATTAAATCAAAACTTATCCAGTTTTCATAATTGAGAAAGCAGGAAGGTCCCCAACCTAGTTTGCTCAGTGCACAAATAAAAAACTCCTGTAGGTACAAGAACAAGTTTTGCATGATTGCACTGTACAGGGTTACAGAAAATTAATAAAATTTCTTATATTATCAGTTAGTATTAAATTTCTGAAGAAAATATGAGAACAGTTCATCGTCATAACAAAAAATACATAATGGAAAGCAGAAGTACACCAACATCCGAACATTTCTATTTGCTGTATTCAGAGAATCTGAATAAACCCAACAATTACTCTTTTTGTCAGAGGAGTTCAATGCATTTACAGTAGCTGAGATAGCACAAACTAATACAACTATTGTTAATATTGAGGAAGATCTCAGGCAATTCTTGCGGATGCTTTTAACTATAATCTTCATAGCTGGAGATTTGGTTTGAACCTTTGTTTGATATTGAATCTGTGGAGGAACAGTTGTGTCTGTAAGATTTATCAAGGGGATGATTCTAGAACCAGATATTGAATGTCTCCTCTGAACATCTTTAAACCTGGCTTGGGAAAGTTTTGGGAAGGTTTCAGAGCGTTGAATTTTCCTAGCAGGCAACACTCTCTTAACCTTAGTTTCTGTTTGAAGTTTTAAAGGAAAAACTTTAGACTTTCTTTTACTACTTTTCACATCTTTCAATGTGGAAACGCATACTTTAATAAATTCACACACAAGAGAAATAATTGCAAGGATTTGTATTGTTGGGAAAAAAGTGCACTCCTTTTCGTTTTCTTGTTTAAATGTTGTCTTTTTGCAGGGATTTGCATCTTGTAGCAGACCAAGTTCTCCCCTGAGCAGTTTAAGTAGTCGAATGTTAGTGTGATCTTCATAGTTTCCACATTTAACCCAGTTGTAGAGGGAGTCCAGCACACCAATCAGAAGTATAGATATTCCAGCAAAATATGAACAAGAACTAGGATTTACTCTCTGATAAAAGGAGGGATGGATCAAAAGAAGCAATCTGCCCAAACACAGGAAAAGAAATCCCCCTGCCACAAATACAGAGTAGCTGTTCAGCGGAAGAATGATGATGGAAAAGGTTTGGTAAGTGTTAATAAAGTTATCAAGGGAGGAGTGAAACCAAGATGTAGCAAAGCACATGAAATAGCATCTTGTAGTGGCAAAAATTCCGGTTGTGAGGAACAGAACAAGAAGCCTGTTTAGCAGTGTTTTTGGCTTGTTGTTCAGAAAATGAATAAAAATGAAGAACACCAATAATGCTATGATGTAGGCCAGTGAAGTTATGATGAAAGTGTAGTAGCTAGGTAAGTTTGGTACAAACATAACTAAAAGAACGTACGTTGCAGTCAAAATAAACTTGAAAATGCTCATTTTCGTCATGCTCATAAATTTGCTCAAACTGTTAGTTTACTACATCGCACAATACATTATAAAGTAATGATTGTTTTCATGTGGGAAAGAGAACACTGTTGCCTGGCAACTTCACTTGAGAGAAGAAAACAATACAAGGTTTGCTGACAATATCTCTAACTGAGCAGAGGGTCTCCGATTTTAAGAAGATTAAGATCCTTCCTTGTCTCAAATATTCATTCTTTTAGATTTTGACACAAATTAAAAATAAATTAATAACTTTTAATTCAAATTTAAAAAGAAGCTAAATTGGACCAAATAAATCATTAAGATCAATGCGTAGCATTATTTTGGGCAAAAATATGCAGATCCAAAGATTTGGATACAATGGGCAAAATATCAAGCACAGCCTGTAGAAAATATTGTTACTCAAAAAAATTTTTTTGCTAAACATAAATATAGGAGATTTTTAAAACTTCCTAATCTCTGAATAGTTTAGCATAAATAAAAGTGAGAAAAAGAGTAACAAATTTTGAAAATTTTTCATTTGATAAATAAAATCAGTAAATCTTGAAGGAATGTTCAGGACCTGTACTTGGATAAACTGAATTTTGATAATGCTTATATAAAAATTTACTTTATGACAATGAGACCATCCTAACATGAATAACATATTATGTAAAAGTAAAAGGATCTAGAAATTTAAAAAAATGTTGATACAGTTAACCTAGAGAAGAAGCAAAACAATTGAACTTGGGAATTATAAATTACAAGCTAAATAAATCAAATTTTGTACTGAATCATTAAGAAAATATGGCATTGTAGTGTGCAATGAAGACACTTAGAAAAATGCTTATAATTTGGCAGCTCAAGCCTTCCTTCCTCTTTTCATCCTTCTTCATCATTGAAATAATTTCTGGATTGTTTCTCTAATGTTTCTCTAAACAAACTTGAACCTCTAATCTGATCATATAAATCTGTTTCCTTTTAGTCAGACATTTTTCACCTTTAAATCTGATCTCTCACTTTTAAATTATAAAGTTACCTAGTTGGTTTCCTAATTTTTTTGCCATGTGAGGTCCCTTTATTCCCATCTGCTTGGTTAAATCTATCGCATATCTCTAAAAAATATTTTCAGTAAGATTTCTAGTCTTAGAAGAAGTATAGTAAAGCTCGATTTTAAGTACAAAATGTAAATTTCACAGCATTTTGCTGCCTCCACTCTTAAAATGTGTTGTAGATTTTCTCAACTTAAAAATCCTCCAAAACTCTTGGACAACAAATGTTGAATAAGAATAACTTTGATAAGTTTCCTTTAGTTCTAATATTTTCTTACCGCCCAAGCTTCCATGAACATTTTTGCCTGAGCAGGTTCAACTTTTTTGTGTCGCCTAAAAAAAAATAAGTTCTATAAATATTAGAAAAAGTGTCTGTAAAATGTAAATGATAATATAAATAATATCAAATCAAATCAAATGAAGTCAAACCAACCCAACCCAACCCAACCCAAGGTCAAGGTCAAGGTCAAGGTCAAGGTCAAGTCTCAAGTCAAGTCAAATAAAATCCAATCAAATCCAATCAAACCAAACCAAACCAAACCAAACCAAACCAGACATTTAGAGACGTCCTAGTAAAATTACACAATACCATCTCAAAGTGAGGCCCAAATTTTTTATGGCAACCCACATGATACCAGGAAAAGTTTAAGGACTGTCATAATTAAAAAATTTTGAAATTTATTTGAAAATGCACAAATTAAAACTAAAAAAATTAACAACTAAGAAAAATTGGCATCTTGAAGACTAAAAAAACAGTTTAACTAAAATGGTTATTAGAACTATAGGACATAATACACACTTTAAAGCCTATTTGCAAATAAAAAACAACTTTTAACAGACAACAAAAAGAGTGATATTTTATTAGAAATTATCCTACTTCAAAATTTATCTAGTAGAATTCAAATACATTTTAATGACTCATATTCTTTTTGGGCGGAGAGAACAAAAACAATGAACATGTTGATATAGAGCTTTTCTCAAAAACAAAGGTTTTCCGAATTAACATATGTAATAAAAAAACAGTACTTTTTATCTCACCTGAATTCATCTTTTACGTATGTGTCACCAATTGCTTTCAAATGTAAAGGAAGGCCTCTGAAACAAATGTATACTACTAAATTTTTTTTTCACATGAAATAATCTTTTAGTGAAGGTTGCTCGTCTGTTTGTAATTGCTAAACATCTTATTTTTTTGTGGCAACCCACATTCCCCCAGGAAGGAAGGAGGCTAATCTTTAAACATTGTATAAAAACGGCGAATTGAAAATGACTCTAAAATACTTCAAATTGATGCTAGAAGATGGATGCGAAGCATCAGTTTTTATTTATTGTTACCTGTGAAGTTTTAAACAAGATTTGTAGAGCAGTCTCACTTGGTTCACATGCGTCAACTGTTCAAACAAAATAAAAAGTTGACAAGGGGTCTTACCAAAAAACCTAATCTCTCAAAGCTTCAAATAAAGCTATAAAGAAGAACAAAGATCCGCATTCAATGAAATTGATCCTTGAATTTCAAGTGACCCTCCATGCAAAGATGGTATTGCCCAAATCATAATGGTAACCTTAAAAATTTAGTCTCATCATTTAGAAAAAAATAAAATTAAACATATTTAAACCTAGACCAGATTATTGACCAGATAAAGGTATCAAGGGTAACATTGTGCATCGAGCATTTCCATATTTGTATGGAGGGTCACTAGTAATTACGCCTAAAATCCCGTTAACATTAATTAAAATGTATAATACTTGTATCATATCAAGTATTCTTTTTGTATATTTCCTAATAAATTGAAATTTCAACATTTAGTGCAATTACAATATATGACTTTGTAATTGCGTAGTGTGAAGATTTTCATTGAAGAAATGTTTTTACTGCGCATTTTAATATTTAGTGCAATTACAATATGAAACTTAATAATTACGTAGTAAGTAGATTTTCTTGAAGAAATGTTTTAGCTGCGCAGTTTAAATTTAAGTTTCAATTTAATGATGAATATTTAGAAAAGGATTAGACATAAATAGACATCTTTAAAATTTGAAGGGGTTTCAAGCTTCTACGTCATTTAAAGCGACCCACTGGAACTGTGTGGGTTTAAAATTCTTAACAATGTCATTTAAAGAATAATCCATGTAAGGATTTTCTTCTTATTTAAATTTGTTATACAATAGAATAAATGTACTACTAACATCTACTTTTTTCCTCTACAGAGGTTTGGTCCATCACCGAGTTTTAAATAAACAGAAGAAGACACCAAATATTGCATTTACATAAATATAAAATATAAAATTCAAATATACCATACAGGGTGTCCAAAAAAAACTGAGAAAACAATTTTCAATCGAGGTGTGATTAAAAATCTCTACCTTTCAGGTATCTTTATATTTGATCAATCTGTACCACAGATCGCTTCTTCCATCAAAATATTTGACCCATCTGGGCACAAATTTCAACATTTTTTAATTGTTTTTTTTTGTCACCCTGAATGTAAGTTAGAAACAAACGGAACAAATATCGGCAGTTTACCGTGCTCAAATTTATTTTTAAACAAAAAACTAGGATATCTCAGTCATTCGTTCTTAATAAAATTTTAAAGGATACAGGTTAATTTCCTTTAAATGTTAAAGCCTTCCCCCCCCTCCCCGTAAGTTGCAAATTGGGCATGGTGCGGAATTTTCTCCGTAACATACACGGTTAACCACAAAGGACGTTTGTACTGAATTGTTACTGTCTAATGTCTGTTCCTTAAATAATTGCAACTGTGAACTTGTTTCTTTCTTTGTCAAGTCACTAAAAAGGCCATAAAAACACTTTGTTTAAGACAGAGGACTTAATTTAACCTGGAAGAGTTTCAGGTCATCTTTACAATCTCATCATTGGCGGGTAACCATTTATATTCGGATTTAAACTTTAACGGGTTTAAAGTATTCTATATTTCAATTTGCAACCTAAACTTTGAATAAACTGTTATTTTAAAATATGCACCCCTACACTATCCATGATCATAACCCGATGTACCCCTTGACCGATTTGTCTCAAGTTTTAATTGGGTAACTCGCTAGAACCCTAAAAATGGTCTGAACTTTGCCCAGCTCTCTGGTCAAAGCTGGGTCCCCCAGCTAGAGCGAAATAAAGTAAATCATTTTTCATTTTGTTCCCTGACTCATTCTCTCTGAAACAAGGGAAAACTATGAAGGGCAATTAATATAAAAAGTTTAGAAATCATAATCACAGAACATGAAGAACACACCTATAACCGGGTTTAAAACGGACGCCAAAAAAATATAAAACTTGGTCAAAAATCCTCTAATTTTCATGACATCAACACTTGATACTTGTTTGAACTTAGTCGTATCTCGAATTTTCTGATTTTGAAATATAAGAAGCTCGTTTTTCAAATCACTCCATTGATCGCCAAGGATCGTTAAATTTGGCAAAACGATTTTCAATCTAACTATTGATATTTCTTGAGAGCTGCGATCCTCTCCAGTAGCGGTGGATGAGAATGGTTCCAAGCCTAGGAAAAATAATTTATCAGGGATATTATTTTTCTTTTAAAACATAATTTTTGAACCCCAGTATATCAGGAACGTTGGCTAGAAGCGCAACTTTACAAAAAGTTCGATATCCGCGCTGAATAAATTTTTTGGTTTAAAACTTAAACGTATCGAAAGGAATGAAAAAGTGATATTTAATTCTTTATTTTCAATATTCTTCCTAGAGTCTTCAAAAATCTCATTTTTTTTTTGTTCCTTTTTTGATACTACACATTTAAAAAATCAAAGCATTTGTTACAAATGGCTTTAAAATTGTTCAAATTTTTTAAAGTCTAAAAAGTATAAAATTTGAATGTAAAAATTTCCATGTGGTGGTGCTTCTAAAATTTACAACCCTTCTAGATTACTATTTACAAATATTTGTGTTTTCCGAAAAAAACTCCTTCTAGCTGAAATAATTTTATTTTGTGGTGGGGAGGAAAGGGGTGAAAAAATAGAATTATATGCAATTAAGGAACACTGTAAACCAACATGGTCATTGGTCAATGTGTACAGTGTACAGTGTACAGTGTACAGTGTAAAGTGAACAGTGTTCATAAAAATATTTACCGAGTACAACCAATCATAGATTGGGAAACTGAGGTTGTCATTGTTCAGCTTAATCAGAGCAGTTTGAAGAGGGGCAGCTCTACCCAGACCAGCAGCAAACTCATCCGCCTGGGCAATTCATTCATTAATAAGAGCAGTTTGGAGAGGAGCAGCTCTACCCAGACCAGCAGCAAACTCATATGCCGGGAAATAAAGATTCTATGTTTGTTTGTCTGTTTGTATTCAAAATAACGTCAAAAGGTTGAACCGATCGGGTCAAAATTTGTTGGGACTTCAGATAAAATCAGGGAAAGTTTTTGAACGTTCAAAATTACAAGAATAATTTTAGTTTTTGTAATAGTTTGTAAGTGCGCAAAAAAATATTAAATAAAAAGTGTTTTTGTTATTCATTTATATTGTAAAAAGAGAAAATGCTCACAGATAGAGCCAAAATTATAAGTTGATGGGCCTGAAAGCATAGTTAGTTAAATTTTAAATTATTTTTGACCTGGAACTCAAATTTCCTGCTAAGCATTGTCATGAGGAAGTTTACTACGGAGGAATAAGGAGCCAAGATAAACTGTAGAACCACCATCAATCCTAGCAGACAATTATTCTGGGTTATTTCAATAAAACTTTCGAAAATATTATTCGTTCAAGAAATATTTTGTTCTTTGTTTTCATTTAACATCTTTTCATCCTCAGGTTTGACAATTTCACAAAAAAAGTATAGAAAATGTAATCAGATATTTTGGCAAAACTTAATGCTATAGACAATTTAAAATCAAATAAGTACTGAACAGTTACCAATAAGTACAGGCTGTATGTCGGAGAAACCGAATGCCGCGTACAACGGTTTATATTTGGACATTAGCGCAAACAGGAGGAACATAAGAAACAACTGAACCTAAAAAGATAATTTATTTGAACATTAGTCAATAATATGGGAATATGAAAAACAGTTAAACCTAATCAGATGCTAATATTTAAACATTAGTTCACGATAGGAACATGACAAACAGCTGAACAGATGTTTATATTTGAACATTAACTAATAATAGGAATTCACAATGATCGGAACAGCGGCTTAAGTTATACAAAAAAAAATCTACCATCGAGGCCACAACTATTACTCAGAATTGAAAAAAAATGAAAATGGTTCAAAAACTTATATGTGACAAGTACAAGATTAACCACAAAGGATGAGACTGTAAAGACGACTTGAAATTCTGTAAATATGACGTTTCCGACGTTAAATAATGTATCATGTCATGAATATTTGTAAAATATGCACTATTTTAGGAGGAGACGACTTGGTAACCTAAGAGAAGTTCCGTGACGGAAAAGGACGCAAGATTCAACAAGGAGGACACATAATCCTCCTAATTTGATTTTAGATGTCAAGATTTATAATAATCTGTAAATAGAAAAATATTTACTCCCTATTACTCATACTTAATCATATTTAATCTAAAGTCCTTTATTTATCTTTACACAACTTCAAGATGAAAACTTTTATATTTTATATACATAAAGACAAAAAACCTTTTTATAATTTTCTATGTAACTAGGAAAATTAAAACAAAACTGTTTATATTTAATATCTGAATGTTTCAGATATAAATGAGATTTCCATGACTGTGGGCGGGATGTTTTAGCCCCCCACACTGTTAGTATTCATACATGTAAAAATTGTAAAAAAGCTACATTAAAGAAAAAATTAACAACTGTTTAATCTAGATCTGAAGTTATAAAAACTACGGACGATCTTTACAAAAAATTAGCAATTTTTATCTAGATCTGAAGTTACAGCAACTACGGACGATCTTTACAAAAAATTCACAATTGTTTTATCTAGATCTGAAGTTACAGAAACTACGGACGATCTTTATCTCTGTAACTTTTTAGTTAAATAAACAAATAGCCTAAAATATTTACACAAAAACAGCAGAAATGAAAAATGCACTTTATAGAGATTGAAGGAATGTGTAGTGTGTAACCAGCTGATCTAGCTCTCAGCTTTCAATATAGAGGTACAAAAATATATTTATAAAATGCATTCTTCTAAACATGTTCACTTTTCAGCTATAGGAATAAGACCCTAAAATATACTTTTTTTTTCTAGACCCTGTAGTGCATGGAAGATTTCTCTGCAGAACTATTTAGCGTAGTCAATTTATACTATGCTCTACGGATCGTGTTTATTCTAAATCCGTCACAGGTGTATTTCTCATTAAAACTTTTGAACTAAAACGAGAACATGAAAAATGTAAAAATCTTTTTTCATGAGAAACATTTTGACTATCTCTGTTGTAACTGGATAATGTCCGTAATGTGAGTTCCTTTTATTTAAAATTCTTTAAGCCACGCCTTATAAATAGCTATTTTTATTGGATCTCGACTTTTGTTTAGGAGATGAATAAATCCTAAAATTAAATCTGATTAATCTTCTACCAGACTACCACCTCGAGTTATACTCCACAGTGCAATAAATCTTTATCAAGTCCCTGAGACACGTGCGACACATAAAGTGAGAGATAAGAGTCAAATGAAAAAACATTAACAAACCAAGGATGCAAATCCATAAGTCTCAAAATAATATGGCTTTTTAATGATTGGGCAAATAAAGAAACAAAAGAGAATCCTAAATATAAGGAAACAGACTGTGTAAATTCCGTGCAGTCGTCTCTGAAGTCTCATCCTTTATGGGTAACCCTGTAACTAAAATTAAAAATTTTCCCAAATAATTAATATTGTAACCTGTCCAATGACAAGGTTCTTGAGAACATGATTCAGCTTCCAATGTCCCAGCTCGTGACCAAGTACAGCCAGGATCTCGGAGTTGTTGCAACCCATTTTAGCAGACTTTTGATCCTCCTCCTGACAGAATTGGAGAATAATAAAAGCATTGATACTTTCTTGAAAAAATACCCCCTTTTTCCCCCTTCGTACAGTGATATTCTTAATAATCCGGACTGATATATATTAATTCATTACTTCTTTATAGATAACCTGATTTTAATAATGTTTTTTAATCAACAAATAATCACAAATAGTCCTAATCCTGACATTTCCAAAGTATTCTAAATTTTTATGCTCTCAACAATACTAGAGATATAAAGAATTTTATAAAAATTTTAATTTATTAAAATGTCTCATTCTGAACGAAATCAGTCATATCTCCAGTATTAATGTATATGCACAAAAATGGCCGACCACATTTTGGAAATGGCAGGACCATGGCTATTCTGTAATTATTGTTTCATAAAATCAGGTTACCAAATACTAATAAAGAATGCTGCAAACGATTTCTATGGTCAAAGACGACTTTGAAGTCATCAATCTACATTATTTGTTTTTTTAGTATCACTGAATGTAAGGAGCTTTCAGGAGCTTTTATCAAATTAAGTAGAATAAGAAGAACTATCGTCATTTGATAATTCTTTTTCTAAGAAAAGATGGCGGAGGCTTAATTTTTTGTTTGTTTAAAATGATAAAAAAAACATTTTCCTAATTTTCCAAACTTTATGGTTATTACTAAAATTTTTTTCTAGAATAAAATTATATCTACGAAACTGTTATTTACATCTCTGACAGGCTTCTGACAAACATTTATTCACCTTTTCCTGTTCCTTTGTTTCCTCAGTTCTTAGCTTGTTCCGTTCCTGTAGTTCCAGCAGAGTGTCAAATAGAACAATTCGCTTAAACTACACAAACAAATATTCATCAGCAGTCCTCACATCCTTCTTCAAGGGACTGGAATTTTAACTGACCCTTTATTCAAATGGCATGTCCGATTCACAATGGTTCCCTTTAAACTTTTGTCTCATCTAGGATAAATGAGAAATCGTTATTTTTTTTTAACGTGTATAAAAGTAACAATGAGGAAAATATAGTTGTGTCACCTTGAGAAACCATTGTTGAAAATAATAAATGTTTAGCTAGAAAATAGGATCTGAGCTGAAAACTTGAGAATGAGATATCCTTAATCACGATCACTTAATCTGATTATCCAATATAAACACTTTTGATTTTCTTCTAATAATCCTCTTTTTGGATATTTCTACTGTATAAAAGTTACGTTTGATAACAATTACAAATACAATGCTATATCGATCGGACTAATATCCGACGGAATTAAAGTTAGCTGTTCACAAGCCGGCTTTTAGAACAATTAAACAAATATAAATTTAATCATGTTAATATGAAATTATAAAAAAACATATTTTATTTGAACGTTAGTCTTAATAAACATTAATCCAAAACTTACGTTCATTCAATCGATGTTTAGTTCGAATGCGTTTAAAAATAATCTTGGGTTTAGTAAAACCAAGAGTTAAGCATTAATCTTGATATCCATCATTCTTAAGTTTTCAGCTCTGATCAATAATTTGATCAGAGAAAGGTTCCATGTTTACCGTCGTGAATCTGACATGCCATGATGATGCCACTCGATAAATGGATGAAATTGGAGGGTCACTTAACATTAAGTCCATTGTACCTTTAGTGTTAGCCTTTGTTTTTAAACGTTGTTTGGTTTTTAAGAGGTTTTAAAACTCTATACTTCAAACAAATTCATGCAAAATGACGACTCCAACTTAAGATTGTTAAATTACGATTAGAATAACGTTAAAACGGATCTTAAATGAAACCATCTCAGAAGGTTTACTCGAGGATTGTTCCGAGAAAACATTGCAAGTAAACCCATTACACCCAAAAAAAAGCCAAAAAAAAAACTTAAGACACAGAAATCTGCCAAAAATACCAATTTAGTCCATAAATTAAAAGTATCCACAAGTTTTCAAAATCTTCCATAAACAGTATCTTAGTCAATATAATTTGCCGGGAAGTGAAGTCTTACACTTGCAAAAAATACTCTAGATGCACTGTATAAAAAAGTATAAGGTAAACTTAAATTCACCCTTCCCCCCTCTAAAAAATGCCTCCGATTAAAAGAACTGTGAGAATAATTTCAAGTGACCCGACATGCAAAGATGTCAATGCCCAATTTACAACAGTACCTTTGCAACCGCAATCTGATAAAATTGTGGAAAATACCGTCGTTTTCCTGCCTCGAAAGGTATTAATTTCTGGAGATTTCTCCATTCATTCTCATAAGCAAGTAATGAGCAAGTCACTTTTGCGGAGAACCCGCAATTGAAAACAAACCGTTAGAACCGAAACATGGATATCTAATTCATACTTGATCAGACAATGCTTTAAAGGGTACCGTTGTTAATCGGGCATTGCCATCTTTTCATGGGGGGTCACATTTACAGTCGCTTTAAGAAGATAATATTTGTTTTGTTCCTTGTAGAATCCATAGAAGTATGCATTACTATGCGAGGATCGTTTAGATCCCTCGACAACGTAGAGCTTATAGAGAGGGAACTCTACACTAGCAGCCAACTGCTCAATACCAGTTCGGAGCTCTCCTAGTATATAAATCAATCAATTAATCAATCAATCAATCAATCAATCAGTCAATCATTCAAGCAATATATCAATCAATCAATAAGAGCTTAAAGAGAGGGAACTCTACACTAGCAGCCAGCTTCTCAATACGAGTTCAGAACTATCCTAGTATATCAATCAATTAATCAATCAATCAAATCAGTCAGTCAATCAATCAAGCAATATTTCAATCGATCAATAAGAGCTTATAGAGAGGAAACTCTACACTAGCAGCCAACTGCTCAATACCAGTTTGGAGCTCTCCTAGTATATCAATCATTCAATCAATCAATCAATCAATCAATAAGAGCTTATAGAGAAGGAACTTTACACTAACAGTCAGCTTCTCAATACCAGTTCAGAACTCTCCTAGTAACAATCAAATCAACCAAATCAATCAAATTAATCAAATAAATCAAATCAATTAAATCAATTAAATCAATCAATCAATCAATCAATCAATCAATCAATAAATCAACCAATCAATCAATAAATCAATCAATTAATCATGGGTTTAAATTGAGGAAACTCTACACTATAACAATCAATCGATCGATCATACTATTAAGATTGCCCTATGACCACATCACAATCTCACCATGACTATACAAAGCTGAGATTGATTAATAAGGGTTTATGCTTTGTAAATGAAGCTATTTCTTACTTACTCATCCGCGTTTCTCCAATTAGGTGAATACGGCCACAAGCAACCAAATGAAGCTATTTAGTCCTTTTAATAGACTTCTGCTTTTAGTAATCCATTGATTTCCTCCCGACATTTTGCGAGGCTACCAATCTTGGGTTATATCCCCGCTCTCAGTCTATATTAACTGAACCATTTTTATTATAGGCGTACACAGTAAATTTAAAAGTTTTTGTGGACCCGAAACATTTTTGGCTTTCTGGAACCATGGATCTGGTTTAGAGGGACAAAATATCCACCAAAAACTGCAAACAAAAATCGTTTACTCCCAAAACCCAAATCTGAACTATTGAAAAAAAGAGAGATTATCAAAAATGTCCTAATCTCTGAATGGCTCATAAAGTTTTAGCTTAGAAAAATGATAATAATTAAAAATTCTTATTCAGATAAAAAATCAGTAAATCTGAAAAAATGTGCATGACTTGGTTCAGGATCTGGATCCATTTTTTTCAAGTGCGGATCCAGGATCCCGATCCAGGATCCCGATCCAGATCCGCATAAAAATTAAATGGATCCTTTGCACTGCAATGAACTAACCTTCGGGCATAGGTGTATATTTATCGAAGAGAGGGGCAATATAGTCCGGGTAAACGGTCATCAAGAAGAGGAGCATAAACATAGAAAAGGACCAGAGATATAGGTAGAAGTGGTCACCACCCCAGTACACAATCTTAATAAAAATTACACTATTATACCTTTGTACTAAAGGTACAGTGCACAATTTTAATAAATAGTACATTATGATTTCTTTGTACTAATGGAACAGTACACAGTCTTAATAAAAAGTACCTATACCTACCTTTGCACAGCAGGTATAGTACATAATCTTAATAAAAAGTACATTATCATACCTTAGGTATTAGAGTTACAGTACACTATTTTAATAAAAAAGTACACTATTATAACTTTGTACTAGAGGTACAGTACACAATCTTAATAAATAGTACCTTAACCTACCTTTGCACAAGAGGTACAGTACACAATCTTAATAAAGAGGTACAGTACACAATCTTAATAAAGAGGTACAGTACACAATCTGTATAAAGAGGTACAGTACACAATCTTAATAAATAGTACATTATGATACTTCAGTAATACATGTATGTAAAATCTGAACTATTAATTTAGGACAAACTACAGCCTGAAAAAGGAAGGTTGAACCAGTGTGATCCACCCAAGAACTATATATGCAGGATGATTAAATAACCGAGATCATTCCCTTTATCCTGTCAAATCTAGGAGTTAAAACAATATAAAAATGTATTTTTAATCTCTAATTTAAAAACTGAGAAGTCAGGTAAACTAGATCAAGCTTCAAAAGGAATTTAATATTGGCACATTTAAAATGTTAAATCTGTAGACATGTAAATGATATTTAATCCCAAGCTTTCACTCAAAATATAATGATCGTCGTGTTCCAGATGACCATTAAGATTCCCTAATCCTATCTCAAGAAGTGATCCGTTGTTCAAATAACATTCAAGGTACAACAAAGGTATCAAAACTTTGTTCGGAGATCATATAAAGCATTAGATTCATTAATTATATTGGAGTTGTTTGATCCAGTTGATCATAAAAAGTGATCAGTATAACCCGGAGTTCTTGAGGCTCCAAAAGAGGCTTGGGTTGTATCACAAACACAAGCAGGTCAATTAACAGAACTATTGAAATGTATTTATTTGAAGAAGACAATTGATGTTGAAACGTGATTTCAACTGATTGATCTTTAGATGCGGAACAGGACTGATACGAGATATCTTTACCAGGGCTTCCTATCTACAGTTTGATACTACATCTTATATTTACCCATCTACACCTCAGTCATCTTTAACAAAGATCTCACGGTGATTTAATGGGATCTCACGGTGATCTATAGCACACAGCTAGTCTGGAGAACCTCCCAAGTATTGGTTAAATCTAACTTGTGTTAAACATTAGATTAGCAATAATTCCTATGCAGGCAGAAAGAATCTGACGACGACTGTACGTATTGTTTCTGTACTACGTATTACTGTTGCTCTTGAGGGACTGTATCTAGATCAATTCCAGAAGGTGAATACTTGTGACATTTTTTTCATTTTTCTTTAAATGAAAAAGATCGTTCCTGACCTGACTTTAAACTAATTCAGGAATATCTTAATCTAAATCCATTCATTCTTCAGAATCAATGAAGAATTGCAGTCCGCAGTGTTCACAGGACACACTTATTATCTAATAAACCTCTTTGCATTCACAGGAAAAATTATACTGAGACACGGAGAACTTGAGACCTGATAAAACCCCAACGGAAGACATTTGGATCAGCAAAAACCAAAACCGCCATCAAATATAAGATTTACATTAGAAAGCTTGGGACACCATTGTATCTCATAAAATATTCTGATGTGCCTTTTTATACAGATGTTAAAAGCTTTTGTTCTCATATAACTCTTCAAATCCTTTTATCTGGTCGTAACATTTCACCAGAGATCACATTTTGAAATATTGAATTTTAATGTATTCTGTCAAATAACTTTATCAGGTCACGACATAATTATCATTCATCAAATTTAATAAATACATCATGCTAATTGTGATTATATTTTTAGGTTAACAGCTTAATGATCATCAAAAAATAAACTCTTGATTTCTGTGTATGGGGTGGCGTATAAACAATACATTGGTTAAAAATAGTTTTGCACTAATATTCTGACACTGAAAATTAAATTGAGAAGACGCCAAAAGCTGAAAAGTGCACAATGTACAGTACACAATCATAAAAAATAGTACATCAGCATACATTGGTAAAAGAGGTACAGTACACAATCTTGATACATAGTTCATTATCATACCTTTGTACAAGAGATACAGTACACAATCTTTAAACATAGTAAATTATAATACAATTACACTAAAGGTTCAGTACACTACTAATCCTTAGCACTAATTGCAGTACACATAATCTTTAAATATATTCCAGTGTGATCCAATAAATATGGAAATTAAAAAACCACACACATACAAATAAATAAATAAGTAAATTAATAAAAAGATCAACAAAGTTTAATCTAACCTTGATTATTCCTGCAAGAATTGGAGCTTGGATAAATTGACTTACAAAGAATTTCTTGATCTACAACAATAAAAAATATTACAGAATGAATACAATTATATTTTCATTTTTCATTGTTTCTGATATATCAAAAACTAGGGGTTCAAAATTAAACTTAAATTTGCATACAAAATGGATTTCTTTCTTCCACAAATCAAAAACGACTTGTAATAAACTTTGTTTGTATTGATTTGCTCACATTTATATTGCGAGCATTATATCTCTCAAGTTTGTTGAATCCATGTTTCTCTTTAATAACAAACCTGATCTTTAAAATAGAATCCTCCAGTTTGTTGAATCCATGTTTTTCTTCAATAACAAACCTGATCATTAACGTAGAATCCTCCAGTTTGTTAAATCCATGCTACTCTTCAATAACAAACCTGATCCTTGTCATAGAATCCTCCAGTTGGTTGAATCCATGTTTCTCTTTAATAACAAACCTGATCTTTAACGTAGAATCCTCCAGTTTTTTGTTGAAGCCATGCTTCTCTTCAATAACAAACCTGATCTTTAACATAGAATCCTCCAATTTGTTGAATCCATGCTTCCCTTTAATAACAAACCTGATCTTTAACATAGAATCCTCCAGTTTGTTGAATCCATGTTTCTCTGCAATAACAAACCTGATCTTTAACGTAGAATCCTCCAGTTTGTTTGTTAAATCCATGTTTCTCTTCAATAACAAACCTGATCTTTAACATAGAATCCTCCAGTTTGTTTGTTGAATCCATGTTTCTCTTCAATAACAAACGTGCTGTAGATACTGAATGGTAACCCTGGATAACACATACTATTTAATTATATTGCTCATAAATATCATCAATAGAAAAGCAAAAAAACTTGATTTCCTAACATTACATATTAGTAATCATTCATAAATTTAATAGTCATTCATTATAACAATAATAACAATAAATCTTGAAATGTAGGGTCACTTGAAATATCGTTAACAAATCCATTAATGTCAAATTTATATTATTGTCATTCTTTAAGATAACACATTATGAGAGCTTTTAAAGTTGTGAATCTTTTTAAATCCTCATTTTGTACACAGATAGCATAAGAATAACAACAATATTTAAGCCGTCGTTTAATCAGTGAGATCCTGGACTTATGACAAGGCCCATTATGTACTTGTAACGAGCCAAAATAACTGTGGAATAAACGTGGAACAAATTTTTCTTTCAGAAATCTTGTGATTTGGGATTGTTACATTTCTAAAATGTTTTAGTGCAGTTTTTAGAATAATGCAGATAAAAAAGACGATAACTAGAAATACAATGTACTAGTATAAGAGAATACAGAGCTCTATTAAAGACTAGATAATGCGATATTTTCCAATCAGGTTCCATTGTGTGCAACTGGAGTAACCAATAAACAGACGTCTGTATTTAGGTATATTTAAGGATCCATTGGATCCGAAATAAAGAACCTTAAAAAATTGACTAAATTCATATATATGTTTTATATTAAAAGTTAGTCTTTCTTTAAGAATTGTAAACTTAACCCCTGAATGGGTATTACAGGAAACAAGTGGCCGTTAGATGGCGATCACAAACCTTTTGTGGAAATGTAGCACTTCCTGCCGGGACAACTATAGGCCTGCATATCCTTGTCCGGTAGAGCTTATAAGGATTCTGTGTATATCTAGTCTATGATCTAACCTGTGACAAGGCTGAAAATGCTAAGGTAGGTGCTAAAGAGAATAGAATTCAAGATTTCGTTTTTTCCCTCAAACTCTAGATAGTCCTGCAAATTAAACAAATTTTCAACAAAAATAACATTCACATTCACAGCTATTTAATATATGTAGAAAATGTTGTCTACAATGTGCACCACCAGTACGTGCAAGAATAAATACTTCACTTATGATAACATATTATCAAACCGGAATATTTCAGTATTCAAATAAATATGTATGAGTAAAAATCAACAATTTCTGAAAGTATATGCATAATGCATGGATTGCAACAAAAATAACGTCTTTAAATCTCTCGTCAAAAATTCTTTTACAAAATTCGTGTTGTTGAAATTGATTTCAATTATATCTCCAATAAAAAAATTCTTCAATCAGCTGCAAAAACAACAAATGGTAAACGCAAAGGAGTGAAAGAAGGCAACTTGTGTAAATAATTTGTTATTCTGCCTGGCGCAAATCAGATTTGTAGAGGTTTTGAAAATTGTTATGTACAAATTACTAATTTACCAGGGTGTTCTGCGCCATGTCCCAGAATATTCTGTACCCAGAGAACCAGAGCATACAGGTTGACAACGTGTGACTGAACAACCCTTCCACAGAACCAAAAAACGATCTGAAAATTAGATGCTATCCTGTTTGAACTACCGCCATTTGAACTATTGTTTGTTTCTATACTCATCTGAACTATTTTTATGTTCAACTATTATCATAAAGGTTTAAATTAAAAAATAGCGCAAATGAACATAAAAATAGTTAAAATGAACAAAAAAATAGTTTAAATGAACGAAAAAAAAGTTTGAAAATAAACAAAAATAATTCAAATGAACAAAAAATAGTTTAAGAGAACAAAATAGGTCACATGATCAAAAAAAATATTACGAATAGTTCAATGAACATAAACATAGTTCAAATGAAAAATCTAAAATCAGAAAAAATAGTACAAATGAACATAAAATAGTTCAACTTAACAAAAAATGTTTAAATAAACATAAAAAGAAAGTTTTAAAAAAAATCAAATAAATTCACGAGTCTAACTGAAATATAGTTTACAGAAATAAAAGAAATTTCAGATTATTTTATTGGTTCGTTTGAACTAGTAGCAGCAGCGCTCGGCCCCCTTAGCCTGTCCTAACCGCAGCGCTCGACCCAGAAATGGTCTTAATCTAAACTAACCCTGTATAATGCATACATTTGAGCAACATTTTTTAAAACTATTTTATTTAGATTTAAACTACTATATATCCGCAACGCCCACCCCCTAGCCTGACCTATCCGCAGCGCTCGACCCAGAAATGGTCTTAATCTAAACTAACCCTGTATAATGCATACATTTGAGCAACATTTTTTAAAACTATTTTTATTTAGATTTAAACAACTATACATCCCTAGCCTGACCTAGCCGCAGCGCTTAGCCCAGAAATAGTCTTAATCTAAACTAACCCTGTATAATGCATACATTTGAGCAACATTTTTTAAAACTATTTTTATTTAGATTTAAACAACTATACATCCCTAGCCTGACCTAGCCGCAGCGCTTAGCCCAGAAATAGTCTTAATCTAAACTAACCCTGTATAATGCATACATTTGAGCAACATTTTTTAAAACTATTTTTATTTAGATTTTAACTACTATATATCCCTAGCCTGACCTAGCCGCAGCGCTTAGCCCAGAAATAGTCTTAGCCTGCCCTTACCAGCTAATTAATACACACGTTTAAACTAATTTTTGGTTTATTTCAACTATTTTTGAGTTCATTAAAAATATTTTTTTTGTTCATTTGAACTATTTTTTTGTTCATAATTTTTTTTTATTTCAACTTTTTAAAATATTTCTTTGTAATTGCTTAAAATATATCTTTAATTGTATAACCTAACTTCATGAATATAACAAAATTCAAGAAACTGCGCTTATTGAAAAATAGTTCAAATGAGCAAGTAATTTGTTGATTTGAACTACAGTAACGTCATTTCAGTAGTTCAAGTGAACAATAGTTCAAACGAACAATAGTTCAAACGAACGAACAATAGTTCAAACGAACGAACAATAGTTCAAACGAACAAAAGTTCAAACAGAGGTAGTTCAAACAGGTATTCACCGAAAATTAAAACTTGTTAAAATTTTTTATCTTAAAAATTATGAACATCTTTATTCTATATATATAACTAGCTTGGGAACCCAGCGTTGTCCAGGGTACTCATAGTTACTTCCGCCGTTTACCCGCACTTGGTCTTAAGTTACGATTTTCGCAATTTTCCCCCATAAAAGTTGTCCCTCTTAATTTAGTATTTCAAGCTAAGAACATTATCGTGGTTTCTAAATCAAAATTTGAGGCAAATCAGTCTTGGGGTTTAAGAGTTATGATTGGACATACAAACAAACAAACACACAAACAGAGATTACTACTTTAAAGAAGTTTTAATCGCTGTTTAATTGTTTGTTAGTCGGATTATGAGTCATGAAACCCATGACCAATTTGCCTAAAATTTGATTGGGGAACTCGGTTGAACCATGGGAATGTTCTTAGCTTGGTTTAACAAATTTAGATTGAGTGGTTGCATTTTATAGCGAAAGTTTAATTTCCAGACAAAGCTGGGTTCCAAAGCTTGGTCTTAGTATATTTCTATAAATATGTGAAATAACGCCTACACAGTGTAGCCTAACCCGAGAAAAATATAAAATAAGAAATATTTACAACACAATTTTGAAATTAAAAATTTCGACAACTATTTTAAATCCAAATATTTTTACGACTGATAATCGTACAAGTTTAAAATATCATCATCCCCAATTAAAAATATTTGAGTGTATATTTTCTTCAAATGCTGTGTTTTATTGAATCTTTATTTAAATTGTAAATTTAAAAACTTCTACAAAGCTAGCTAACAAGCTCGTTAAAAGTTTCTAAATCTCTAAAAACCTTAATTTAAATTCAAATTTCTTATGTGGGAATTAAGGAAATAACCAAATATCATGAAGATCAGGGGCGCATTCAGGTATTTGTGGCTTAGCACCCACTGGGACCCATAAAAAACTGAAATCATAGATTTCACTTATCCAGGGGGGGGGGGGGCATAGACACACCCTTAAATGATATCAATGTTTTACAAACTAAAAGAAGAGACGATTGACTTATTTATTGTGAATTTCTACAGAAAAAAATAATTAATCCTAAAATTTTAAGATACTATCTGAAAGAAAACAAGTTCTTCATCATTAAATGATGGTATTTAAAATTTATTCTTGAAATGATTCTGATTGTTAATCCCTTTAAACTTATTCATTAACTTACTTATCCAGAGCGTAGAGTCGAGCTTTATTAAAGGTTTCGTCATCTAGAATTCCTTTAAGTTCATCTGGAACCGTGGTATGACTCTAGATTAAAGATAAATTAGTCATCTAATCATTTCCTAAAATATTCTTCCCTTTTAAAATTCTAAAATGTTGGACTAAAGTAGTTATTTAAAGGGACTGTAAGCGTCATTTCAAAGTAACCATTCATTTTTAGATAGGCGTGTCCAATTCACAACAGAAACCTTTAAACCTTTGACTGATCAAGGAGGTCTGACTTAATAATCTACAGAAACGGTTTTAATTGTTGAATATTAGGTATTTTCAAGCACAACTTGTTACATCAGCTGTGTTCAGCTAACGTACAATCAGGTTTAAAACCAATTCAAAAACTATTTGATAAAAATGTACATTTAAAGGGTACCGTTGTAAATCGGGCATTGCCCTCTTTGCATGGAAGGTCACTAATTACACTTACTGTCCCTTTAAGTTGATACCTTTATAAGGGGGGAACATTTGAGGAAGAGAGAAAATATATATTATATATACTCCCTGAAAGTATATTACAAGGTTACAGAAGACTAACCATATATATTTTACGCTGGCGTCTACCCAGGTACCCCTCCCAGATAAACTCCAACCACATGAAGCCCAGTACACCCCAGAATATGTACTCCAGGTTTACCTCCATTGTCTTCTGAAATATCAAGAGTTTGTCTCAAATTTTGACAAAATTAAATTTAGCTTGGCATTTGTTTTTCGTTCCGAGTCTTCAAGTTTTTCAAATATCTGCTTTTCTAGGAGAACAAATTTATGATCGATATACTTCTTTAAATCTTCTATCATATATATTTCCATCTTGGAATGATCACTAGATTTCTCCGTAATTGGTCCATTATGTAATTTTGTACACTGCTCAGGAAGAGAAAGCAAATCTGTTGATCTTGATTTTCCCGGATTTTTTCCTGCGAGTAAAGTTGCACTGGCCAGCCCCAACATGGCAGGGTTGTTCAAGAAATCCGCGAATTTTGGCGGGCCGGCTGCTGCACCACCCTGGGGAAACATAGGGGTCTTTTGCGAGTTTTCAAATAACAGCTTGAAACTCTGAGCGTTTTTTGATAATGGAATGCTTTTAGACAGTAAACTATTGACGTGGTCCATGTCGAAGTTTCCACAATTTCTTATTTTATTCTCTAAACATCATTTTTTAATTCATTACTTTTAAGACATTTCTAATTTTGAGTAAGCACTTCAGGACAAAATTGTTCAAATATAAGTAAAAGAATATATTTTTAATTCATATAAAATGATTTTCCTTTTGTGAAGGTTTTTATTTGAAATATCCAGCTAGAACTCCAGGAACCAGGAAGTTTCAGTACAATAGAATTACAATCAGGAACTAGCACAAAACTTATTTTGACCGTTTTTGTGCAAAGTGTACCTTCCTACTCCCCCCCCCCTAAAAGAAAAAACGTGAATAAAATATTTAATATTGAAATACTTCCACCAAAACATTTTAGATTCAATTTCTGTATGGAAATGCAAAAGTAATTTAAGGGATCCATTTTTGTGATTTAGAGTGGCTTGTCCGATTTACTTAAGTAGGCAAAACACCTTTGTCTGATTAAACCTAAGTAGGCAACAAACCTTTGTTTGATCAAACAAAAGTAGTTAACAAACCTTTGTCTGATCAAACCAAGGTAGGCAACACACCTTTGTCTGATCAAACCAAAGTAGGCAACAAACCTTTGTTTGATCAAACAAAAGTAGTTAACAAACCTTTGTCTGATCAAACCAAGGTAGGCAACAAACCTTTGTCTGATCAAACCAAAGTAGGCAACAAACCTTTGTTTGATCAAACCAAAGTAGTTAACAAACCTTTGTCTGATCAAACCAAGTAGAAAAGAAACCTTTGTCTGATCAAACCAAAGTAGTTAACAAACCTTTGTCTGATCAAACCAAGTAGGCAAGAAACCTTTGTCTAATCAAACCAAAGTAGGCAAGAAACCTTTGTCTGATCAAACCAAGTAGGCAAGAAACCTTTGTCTGATCAAACCAAAGTAGGCAAGAAACCTTTGTCTGATCAAACCAAAGTAGGCAACAAACCTTTGTCTGATCAAACCAAGTAGACAAGAAACCTTTGTCTGATCAAACCAAAGTAGGCAACAAACCTTTGTCTGATAAAATGTACAATGTACATTGATTTTATCTGCAATTCTCATTCATTTATAGTGGGCCAACCAATTAAAACAACCTCCTCTGGTTAGGCGGGTCTAAACTACATAGTAAATTGTGATTTATTTATTTGTATTATCTCGTGCTTTGAAGTTGAATAAAAATATGAATGAAAATATGAATATGATCAAACCAAAGTGAGAAACATTGTCTGAATCTATTATCGGCAGATATATCTTCATCACTATTACTCAGATAAAGGATTTAATGGATACCGTTGTGAACCGGGAATATCACTCTGTTTCACAATTTACTTAGTTGACAAAAACCATTTTTAGGCATAGAGTGTTTGCAGTTTTGGTTCATACCACAGAGAAGATATTGATAGAGGTTCAGTTTACTGAGTACAATAGGCAAACTGTACAATTTTAGAAATATTTGGGTCGTTTGTGTACCTATTCTTAATAACAAGTTATTTTTCCAGTGCTTTCTTTGTTTTTTATTTTTTATTTAAATTTTAGGGGGAGAACTATCTATCCATCTCTTAGATCACTAAGTATTTAGTAATTGAAAACAAGCCCTGCAGTATGCGTAATGTATTAACCCCACTTCCTCTTGAAACTGAAGTTTAGTGATTTGAGTTGGGTGAGATCTATTAATATCGAGTCTGTGGTTCAAGATTAGTTTTGATTCATTGTAAATTTGTATAAAATTCCTGGAGATATTCCTGAAGACGTTCCGAATCTACAATGTTGTAATTTTATTTGCCAAATGGCTGGACCGATTGGGCTGAAATTTTTTGTGGACACACACGGGTGGCCGGGGAGTGTTTTAAGGCAAAAAAAATTTGATAATATTTTTTTACAAAATTATTATTTTTTTTGTTTCAGCTATTATTTAATGGTGTCCGTTATAAAACCAAAAATGTCATAAAATAACCTGAGTTTATCAATTTTTTAAATTTGTTAACCAATTACTGTTACCCTGACATAAAATAGAATACTGAATAGAAGAGATTAGACAGTGAGAATTGACACGATTAACAAAGATATAAATAAGTCATGTGTGCAATTTCCTCATTAAAAGTTAAATATATATAGAAGTTATATGAAAAAAATAAAAAGGCTTATGCCAGCTAAAAAGAGTAAAAAATTAGAAAACCCTTTCCAGCTATTTTTACTTTTTAGTTAGTTATTTTTTTAATTATACATCTACATACAGGGTGTCCCACATCATATTCGAGAACGGGTCTAATTACGATTTTCGGAACTAATTAGAAAATTTCATTAGAATGAATTATTTTGAAAAATAACATAAGGCTTATATAAGAATTTTCTTGCGGAAAATGATAAGTTTTTTCGAGTATTAAGGGTTTATTTTGGTGTTAAAGATTGAAGAAGATTGAAGCTGCAATTAATTCTAAATCTTATTTAAAATGCGATTTTTGATGCACAAACAAACAATTAAAACATTTAATACAATTAATCAGAAAGTTTTTCCTTTGATGTTGAATGTGTAAATTTTTGTCCCATCAAAGTCATCAAAAAGTATTCCTGGGAAATTACATTCATAAAATATTAATAATATAAATATAAAGGTCAGAAGAATTTAGTTCTAAAAAACTAGTAACTACATTAAAAGTAAATGAAGAAATACTAGACTCTAGATTTTATTTATTTTCTTTTGCTTGACACAAAACAGTGCTAAGGAAAGTAAGGATTAATTTAATTTTGAGGCAGATCCGGGATCTAGATCCTGCACTGGAAAAAACAGTTCCGGATCCAGGTCATTTCTTAAAGATTACTAAATTTGTTTGCTTATTTTTATGCTAAAACTTAATGAAACATTCAGAAATCAGGAGATTTTTTTAGTCTCTTTTTTTCAATAGATCAGATTTGGGTTTTGGAGTAAAAAGATTTTTTTTAGCAGTTTTAGGTTGATATTTTTGCGGATCCGGATCCAGGAAGCAAATTCTTGCGGATCCAACGGATCTGTATCCTAAGCATTGACACAAAGTAACAATGTTTAGTTCAATCCCAAATATTTTTTCCCCCAAGGAAGCCAATTTGGAGGCTTTAGGTCTACATTTGAAAATTTTTTGCGAAACTCTTTTTCTATTAAAATAAAGATAGAATTGAATGAATCCCTGTTGCTGAACAGATGAATTGGTTTGAAGAGAACACCTCGATATGTCGAATCTCCGACATTAAACACAATCGGCATATTTGACGAGAATCACAGTCAAACCGTAGTTCGCCGGCCACTGACGGGGATTTATCAGATATATCTAGTTCAGCCTCGCCTTGCTTTTTAGTCTTCGGTGATCTAAACACATAGTTTTTAAAGGGACTGTTAGCGTAATTTCAAGTGACTCTCCGTGTAAAGATGGCAAAGCCAGATTTTACAACGGAACCGATAAAACATTCATTTGATTAAGATAGTAAAATGGAAGATATTTTCGTTTTTTAAGGTATATTTCTGTCAATAATTATTATTTTTACAAGCAGTAAAAATGCGCAAAGAAACCACAATTGGAAATCAGTTTTCAAAGTTATAAACATTGATATAAGGTGTAGTTCTTAAAATAGCTTCAACCCTGATGTTGCTAAACAAATATAACCTCAATTCAACACAAATATCAGGATCTATAGAATCAACTTCAAAATCATATTGATCATCATCATTCTCAGTTGGTTTCCCCTCAGCCTCGCCAGCCTCTACAGGAATAGTAGATAGGAGGCCGTTAAGAGACTTGCTTGTCAAACAATTCGTAGATATAGTAACCGACATTTCTTCACTTTAAATCTTTCTGAAAGAAAAAACAACTACATATAACATAAGTTTAATAACAAAATTTCATTAAAAAATGCTAAAAATTCGGCTACACAATACTCAACATATCAAAATATTTGTATATATCAAAGACAAAAAAAAATTAGTTTTCAAATTCATGGTTTCTTTTTCTCAAAAACCAGTTTCCAAGCTCAAAATTCCGTTTTCCTGGCTCAAAATTCTTGTTTCCTGGAAATTAAGACACAAAAACCTAATTTTCCGAATCAGAAAATACACATTTGAATTCCAATTGAGTTTTGTTTTTCTATGATAGAAAATCTGTTCTACATCCTTCCAGTTCGAGAAATCTGAGCCATAGCGTTTTCATTTGCAACAACTTGAAATTCCTGAAAAAGAAGAAATTTAACATTTCTAATTTTGACAGAGGGGGGAAGGGGTCGAGTGAAAGAGAAATGGGTCNTCAAATCAAATCAAATCAAATCAAATCAAATCAAATCAAATCAAATCAAATCAAATCAAATCAAATCAAATCAAATCAAATCAAATCAAATCAAATCAAATCAAATCAAATCAAATCAAATCAAATCAAATCAAATCAAATCAAATCAAATCAAATCAAATCAAATCAAATCAATAGATACCTGTGGTGAAATTTTTTTTTATATTACAATCAAATCAAATCAAATCAAATCAAATCAAATCAAATCAAATCAAATCAAATCAAATCAAATCAACTGTACATCTGAAAGAGAGCCCAACGTGGAACGGGGATTAACGGAAATGTTGACGGAAACAAAAGAATTGCAAAAGCTTTGAGGTAATAAACATGAAAAAGCGTGACTTAAATAGAAGTGTTAAAATTATCATGACCTTTTCGAATTGTTCATTTCCAATCATGCAACCATTGAAAACGATTAAATGGATATCCGTTGAAAATAATATTAAGATCTGAAAGAAAGCCCCAAAATGGAACCCCCAGACGAAATGAAGGACTTTCCCCAAAATTTTCCCAACCAACGACTTTCAAGGGTATTTATTATCCCAGTGGCAACTTCCCAACTTTCAATTTCCCAAGAGGCAACTTCCCAAGTTAATTCCAAGGGCAGCACTCGTCTCCCCTAGCATGCCTTAGCCGCAGCGTTCGACCCCTGAGCCAACACTTGCTGAAGCGCTCGGCCCCCATTGCAGCCTGCGGAGCCTCAGAAGGCCTACCCTAACCTATGGAAAATTGTACATTTGGAAAATTGTCACTTGGGAATTCGCCCTTGGGAAAAACCTAACACCCACCACACCATCATCTGGGTGCTGACCGCAATCTCCATGCATTCTGGCATATTTCCATAGCTGATACTCATGAACATTTCAGAGTAAGGTAATTGAAGGATTTGCCAACCCTTCTATTAAATATGTACTTGTCGGATAAATACTGGTACTCTTAAACCTTTATCAGAGCAAACATGATGGAGGGTTGACATTTGATTACTTTCAACTGAGGTTATTAACAAAACCAACATACGGATTTACACAGCAGAGAAAAGGAAAATTTAAGACGACCGATGATATCTGATACATAACAGGAATTTGGTAACGTTATAAATGGGAGGGTCGCTTCTTAAATCAACAGTCCCTTTAATCATTCTTAGTTTTTCTACCTTTCTGCTTGTAAAATCCCAGACACAGTCGGAGAAACATATTTCACTCAACTTGTTATAATTAGCCTGAACATTCAAATTTATTTGAACAAAAATATTATTTTTACGGTTTAGAATATCCAGAACTTTTCACAATGAAAATACAGTTTTCAAGGGAGTGTTCGCGAAAAATTAAAGGGTGGTATAGAGTGATATTGAATTGTTTTCTATATTGATTGCTTCAAGTTTAACAACTATCAGTTTTGTCTTTAAAAAGAAAATTGGCTAAAAACGTCTTATACCCACGGAATTGCATTATTACACTCAGATCGTAAATAATTCAATTAAATTTCAAACTACTCATTCAGATATTACAAATTATGAAATATTAACTATACAATCTATAAATATTAACTTTACGATCTGAGTGGGAAAATGAAACTCTGTGAATTTGTGAAGGTCTTACGCTCTTCGATATTTTAATCAATTTCTTCCTTCAGACGAAACAGATAAAAGTAAAATAACCAGCGATCAATATCGAATTCAATTCGACGTCAACATATGCCCCCTTAAATTTCCGCAAACACTTCCATTTACAGAAAAATTTGTCATGCCTATTGCAACTAAAAAACTAATGATTATACGACATATGTCTTGAGAATACTAGTGAATTAGAAAATAAAATAGTATACACTTGACCCACCATGAAATCCTTAAAGGTTCTGATCTGTTCCACATCAGTTTCCGACATTTTGTTTCTGAAAAAATCTCTTCATATTAAAAAAAAAACAACAAATTGTTTACTGTTTCTTGTCAGGGACAGTAAAAAAGTTTAAACATTTTTCGTCAAATGAACAACAGCATTCCATTTTACAAAGAAAAATGTATGATTCTAAAAAAATACAATTAAATTGCCGTAATGAAACACATTACACATTTTAGTCACAAAAAGTAAATCGTGTAAATAGGAGATTACAAAATTATAATTAATTTATGAGTGGAAACTGGGCACTATCTGTTGTACCCTGAGGTATAGTATCCGCCGCCACCTCCACCTCGGCTCTGGTATCCGCCACTTCCATCTCCACCTCGACCTTGATAACCTCCGCCTCCTCCTCTACCTTGATTTCCACTACCTCCGCCTCCTCCATGTCCTTGGTATCCACCTCCTCCGCCTCCTCCATGTCCTTGGTATCCACCTCCACCACTGCCTCCACGGGATTGATATCTACCGCCACCTTCCTGACCTCCGCCCTGATACCCCCCTCCGCCTCCTCGACCTCGATTGTCATATCCACCTCCGCCTCTGTTCCCACCCCGTCCAAATGACCCTCCGTAATTACGCCCACCGTATCCCCCATCCTGCCCTCCGCCCCGCCCACCATATCCCCCATCGTAACCACCACCGCGTCCCCCGTAGCTGGCACCACGCCCTCGTCCTCGGCCAGACATTTCACCATCTTGAAATACGAAATCTCCAACTAGAGCAGGTGGGGCTCCATATCCACCCCCACCTCGAGGAGTATGATGGCCCAGCATTCTATGCCCGGCACCACCCAAAGATGCCTAAAATTGAAAATTGTATGTGACATATAAAAAGTTAAAAGAATAGAAAAAGTCCCCTAATCTAAAAAAAACTTGAAAAAAGCATTATTACAAACCAAAAAAAGCTCTAATTTTGGTGGAGGGGGGGGGATAACTTATAAAAATATTTAAAGAACTACCCTCACCTGATCCCTTCTTTCTGTGAATCCCATCCTAGGTTTCCACTCCCGGGATCCACGTTCCGTTAAATCTCCAGGTTTCAGGACTGTCGGGGGATCCTAGTAAAGACAATTAATGTTGTTATTGATTGGTCAAGGATTGTATATTTTCTTGAACATTTTTTTTTGCCAAATGTATTTATTATATATACAAATATATAAATATAATACAACTGAGAAACTTCTCTGATTATTGCTTTATAGTTTATAAATAAATATATATTTAAAATTCGGTGATGGTGATGGACCAAACCTCTGTAGAGAAAAAAAAGTAGATGTTAGTTCCACATTTATTGAAAATATATTTCGGTCTGGGTTGAACCTCGTCAGTTCTTGAGATTGTTTCTTCACAAAGATTAAAAACATTAAATATATATTTATCATATATATGCGCGAAGAGCTTTACTATTTAGATAATTACCTTGGCTCCTTCTAATCTTCTGCTTGGGAATATGAAATCCTCCGGATATTTTGGATCTCTTGAAATTTATTTCTTTTTATATATAATGAACCTAAACAAGATATAGATTTAACCCCCATTTTGGAACCCTATAACATCTTACTACTGCATCAATTTACTTAATCTATCAAAAATTATTTCTCAATTAAAAAGAAAAGGGAAATCCCCAATAAATTTCGTAGCTAAAAACAACCCCCTCGCTAAGCTATTTTTATTAATTCGATGTTAACATCATATTTAAATAAAAATGTACTACATTTGTTCCTTAAATCTTACGATTTCTTAAACACGAACACACGTTTCACAAATTACGTACGCAAGTTTCACAAATTACGGACGCACGTTTCACAAATTACGGACGCACGTTGCACAAATGCAGGCGAAACCTCATTGGAAACACTAATAGGACGAGATGGACGCACTTAAGAGAAGAACACTTATTAAAGACGCACAAAATAACGTTCATTCATGGTACATACTTAGTACTTACATGCAGTGATAGACATTTAAATCAATGCAATGAAGACGACTTTTCGATTTAAGTTTTGTTTTTATCAAGTTTTTTTTCAAATAAAGTTTACTATAAAACAAATAGAATCTGCTAATTGACAGATACTCTTTGTTTACATCGTCTTCATTGTGTTGATATAAACGACGACGACTGTAGTTCATACTTGTAATATACATCAAGGATTTACATCTTAGAGTTCATGAAAAAAAAGTATGAATGCGGAAAATCATGACAACTTAATATAATTTTGAAATATATTCCTGTATCTGGCGCATATCACCCTGTTTCCTTCCAGTGGTTTTAACCCGTAAACCGGGGTCTTAAAAGTCCTAAAAAACATGACTTTAAGCAACATATTAAAATTATTTTTAACGTCCTAAAAAAGATAAATTCTTTAAATAAAATAGTAATGATATTTACTGCTTCATAATTTTGGTTTTGTGATACCTTGCTATATAGATCTAGTAAAATTGAAGCACAGCGATTTACCTACGCGTCTTTGCAATAGAAATCCGTTGATTCCTCTTTAAAAAGTCGAGGCAAAAAAAAAAAAATTTCTTGCAATATGTGGATAAAACTTTGCGACTTAACACAGCTTTACATCTTATTATACAACTTTTGCCTCGACATGCGACTGTCAAATGTTTTTTATTTTTTTTTAATTGAAATATAAAATCTGAAATTTTATGAATTTACCCCTGAGGCTCCACGCAGTCTCGGCTCCATAGTACGTTTCCCGTCATACCCTTCATAAATACAGTCAATTAATAATATAATATAAAATAAACTTAAACACAGTCAATCAATCAATCTTCAAATCTTAATTGGTTTAACTTTCAGAGTAACAGTTAACATGTTAAGGTATAAAATCCTGATTGATGTTTGCAACTCAGGTTTAAACTTGATATGACTGTGAATCTACGAGAATCATCACCCACCCTGGACCATGTGACCGGCAACATATTTATCCATGCTCGGGGTTTCTTTAGCAATTGAACAAATCACAAAATGTTGATGTTCACCTGGAAAAGTCCAGCCGGTATGGGAACCTCCTGATCCCGCTCAAGATCATCGCTCCAAATACTTGAAATAAAGAGATTGCTCGCTTTTCAAAACTTCACAAAAAATACTAAAAATTAAAGGGACTGCTCACTTATTAAAACATCACATTTAAAACTTAACTAAAAGGGGACTGTTCGCTTTTTAAAACATCACAAAAAATCCTAAAATATAAGGGATTGCTTACTTAACAAAACATCACATAAAATCCTAAAATATAAGGGATTGCTCACTTAACAAAACATCAAAAATACTAATAACATGTGGTTGAGGATTTTACAATTAATAACTGAATTATATTTAAAAATGTGCCCAAATCAATTTAATGATTATATTTGATACACAATTGAAAATTACATTTTTCTTTGCGAAAATTAACATTTAGTATACAAGAAAGAAGGAAAGAAAGAAAGAAAGAAAGAAAGAAAGAAAGAAAGAAAGAAAGAAAGAAAGAAAGAAAAAAAGAAAGAAAGAAAAACAGAAAGAAAACGAAAATCTGTTTGAGGATCAAGGAATAAAGTCTGGAACAGGCATAATTAGTTAGAAGCCATTTTCTATCAACGATACCTAGCAAGTTAACCCCAGATCATTCTTACCGATCCCTTAAATATACCTTGCAAGAACACTGTGTCCAGGATGACCCTCGCGCAGAAATATTCTATCATCTCCCCGCACATTTCGCGCAATTTCCTCTAAAACCCAAAATAGATTATTAAAAAAAAAGACAAGAAAAGGAGAAATTAGAAAATGCGCATTGAAAAATCCGCAAGCGCCAAGGCCGCGTATTTTTACCTGCGGTGAGATGTGGGTAAACAGGTTCTAGAGCCTTGTGCAGTCTCTCTTCATCAACAAAGGGCAGCAATGCTACACCCTGCCAGGCGTACTTCTTCCCGTTCAAATCTAAAAATAACTAAATAAGGGACTGTTCTTAAAATCAAATAAAAATGGAAGTTTATAATTAACCTTAAAATCAGAAATTATAAAAATAAAATAAAAAATGGAAGTTTATAATTATTCTATAAATCAGGAATTATAAATTCATGCAATATAAAGATACTATCAATGTGCACAGGTTTATTCTTTTTATCGTTCACATATCACTGAAATCAATGGAAAATCATCAGTTAAAAATTATATGAACGAACCTATTTTAAAATCTACGGGATAGAAGTCTATGATGGGTCCCATGGGATCTATCATCAGTTCACCCCAGGTATCAGGTACATGTTGTCTTAAATACATCAATTAATAAATCAATCAATCAGTATTTATCCATACAACGTATGTTCTTGAGAAAAACAGTTCTTCACTCCATAAATATTCAAATTAGTGACACAGGAATCATGTTTAATATTTAAAATAATAATATTTCTAGTGTTAAATATAAAAAAATATTTCATAATTATGTCGAGGATTATTATACAACCAAAATTTTAGTTTAAAGACTTTTTAAAATAAATAAAAAGAAGTGAATTCAATTCAGGTATAAAAAGGATGAAAAATAGAGTCAAAATTTGATTAGCAAACAAAACACGAAAGATGAAAGCAGGTGCTACAGGCCTCTTATTTTCGTTGACAAAATGCTTTCATGAATCCAGAAATGTGAAAAAAGCTGGAAAATATGATAAAATATGGGAAAATAGGGATGAAAATTGATCTGAAAACCTTCAACTTTGTACTGAAGTTAGTGACGAGATTCTTGACTAACAGATAGGTGTTTTAAATAGATTTTTTTTTAAATCCACACACAAGAAAAAGGAGAAATTAGTAAATGCGCATAAACGTAGTTACGTATTGAATAATCCGCAAGTGCCAAGGCCGCGTATTTTTACCTGCGGTGAGATGTGGGTAAACCTAGCTTGTCTTTGAATCATACTCTTTCGTGAAAAATATTTAAAAACATGGGAAATGGGGGGGGGGGGAATTTCAAAAAAGTTATTTAAATTTTTCTTAAAATAAACACAAATGATGCCCATATGCAAAATTTCACTCAGATTGCTAAAAAAAAAAACTAGAAATACCTTGATGCAGCAGGGAAAACGCTCATCAACTGCTCCATGGGTTTAAAAGGTCGGGTGCCCTTCTCAAACTTGTTCTCGATATCTCCAATATTCACGAAATCTGACGCAAAAGGTGCGTAATGATACGGAAAGTACCATTTCCAGCTGCTACAACCCTATAATTAACCAAGCAATAAAAAAACATCAAATCAGAGGCCGAATTTAAAGAATTTGAGCCGCGGCGCAAATATGGTTGGTTCCACTTAAAATCGTATTCAATATTTCAAGATTTAAGCCGGCGCTCAATTGAAACCGGTTTTTGGCGGATTTTTGACGCGGCTAAAAATTCGTTAAATTCGGACACAGGACATTTTTCGGTTAAAATATCAGAATTGAATTAATCTTTTACACGAACAAATTATTCTCTAAAAAATAAAATATTTTGTATTTTTATAGCAGTTCTTGGGCAAACTGACTTTGGGTCTTTGAGGTAAAAAATTCATAAAGCATTAAAACGATGTTAGTAAAAGTATGGTATAGCTTGAAGACCCAGCGTTTCCCATGGTAAACATAGTTATTCCAGCCGTTTACCCGCGCTTGGTCGTAAATTACGATTTTAGCCACGCAACTTGAATCTCAAAACTAAGCAAAGAATATTTCTGTGGTGCTCCCGAGTTCCCCAATCAAAATTTGAGGCAAATCGGTCAAGGGGTACATTAGTTATGATCGGAAATTTAAACGATCAAACATAGATATGTAGATTATAGAGAACTAAAAATGGAACCTGATAGTAATATCGCAAGACCCAGCATAAACCAATAGTATACTCAGCAGCAATCCTTAAAAAAATGAAAAAATGGCCATTTTTCTTCACTTTTAAATGAATGGAATGGAGAGCACTACGAGAATGTGTCTTTATATTAGATATATATTCCACTTTCAAAAATATCTTCTTTTTACACACTTTTGATGAGCCCTAACTCTTTTCAATTTCATTAATATTCATAAGATTAATATTCAAAATCAATTTTTTGTTCAGTAAAACACAAAATCTCTCCGTACGTAGAATACGTTCCATTTAAGAGATCACTAGAAAAATCGTCTTATTCAGTTCTAGAAAATATAGGACTACATTTTTGAATTAACATTATTGAGGAGATAACATCGAGGGGGGGGGGGGCTTTTTTGATATGATCACCTGTATCTAAACTCCCTGTCTTCGGTGCCTACATCGAATTTAGATTCATAATATCGATCCTAATATCACCACATAATTCTTCAATCGAAAGAAAAAAATTACAGTTTTGAAAGTTAATCAAAGACAGTCAGTGAAATTTTATCGTTAAACCAGGTGGGCAACAATGAGAAAGACGTACATATTATAAATAAACACCACTTTTGTTTTTCTGTTACAGAAACAATGGGTGAAATTGTTAGAATTACAAATTTTTCAGTTAGCTTCACGACAATGTCTTTCTCAATAATTGACTATGAATTCGCTGAATAAGAGAAACTAAGAAAATGTTGGTTAAAAAAATGAAAAAGTATGAAAAAACAAACTTGCCTTTTGATGTTTCAATTTTACATAATTCCCTGTAACTATTAAAATTCCTCGAATTAAACTTTTTTTTAACTTTTTCATTTAGAAGTCCATTCTAATTGATGATAAAAATGGTGTTCCTTAAATCCATCCTCCCAAAGTCGAACCTCATCTGGAGGCTCATCGTCCTCCTCCTCATCTTGTGGAGCTGATCTTTTCACACCTCTTAAAATATAAGCAATTTGATACTCTGCTAAGCTCGTCCTCACCACATTATCCCCCCTCCCCATCAATTGCCAACAGCTTACTTAAATGTTTCATGACCAAACCAACTCCAAAACGGTTTCACAAACAGTTCCGCTATAAAACTGTAACATCTTCCCGCGCTTCCATGAAAACTGATGTTGTNGAATGAAAGTTTTTGTCTAATTATTTGATTAGAACTTTAGTGAAATGAAAGATTTTGACGCAATATTAGTGAACTATTTTGGCACATTTCAGAGTTAAGAAATACCAAGCAATGTTTTTAAATTTCAGAATCCTCATATAAAGACACTGCTTTTTAAAAAAAAATTATAAATTTTGCGACTCACTAGATATAAGTGAAATCTGAAATTGAAAACTTGAATTAGAATTGCCTTTTTCATCTACTTAAAACTTGTTAGCACAATCAATATTTGTGAAACGTGATGATTGTTAGTTAAGTATCAGTGACGTCATATGAAGATTTAGGGTCTCCATTGCAATTAAGACAACATTTACATACATTTGCACTAACCTATCTCCTCCTTCCTCCCTGATCATCCCTTTAAGAGCAGTTCCACTATCCATCCTACTCAGGTTGGAGTGTGTGGTGTTACTTCCTCCTCCACTGTTAGAACTTATCTGCATCCCCTGAAGTATATTAGTTTAGAATTGTTTACCTTTAGTTTTGTATCAATGTTTACATTAAGTTGTGTTATTTGCATTAAGTTTAGTTTTGTTTACATTTAGTTTATTATTGTTTACAATTTGTTCAGTATTGTTTACAGTTTAGTATTGTTTACATTTAGCTTAGAATTGTTTATATCTAGTTTAGTATTGTTTACATTTAGTTTAGTATTGTTTATAAATGGTATTGTTTGCATTTAGTAAAGAATTATTTACATTTAGTTTAGTATTGTTTACATTTAGTTCAGTATTGTTTACATTTAGTTCAGTATTGTTTACATTTAATTAATATTGTTTACATTTAGTTTAGTATGTTTAAATTTAGTTAAGTATTGCTTACATTCTGTTTGGTATTACATTCGCACGTAACTTAAACTAAGTTAAATAGCATAATTTCGCAAGTAAACTTAATGTGGTATCTGGGAACCACAAAAACGTGCAATAAACTGGTATATAAAATCTACACTTAATAAGATTTATACAAGTACTTAAACCTGTTTATATCTATCATGTGTGTAACCTGTTGACATTGCAGATCGGGTTAGTCCTATTCCGCGGGCCTAACTCCTCATGCNGTAAACTTAAACTAAGTTGAATAGCATAAATTCGTAAGTAAACTTAAACTAAGTTGAATAGCATAAATTCTCAAGTAAACTTAAACTAAGTTGAATATCATAAATTCTCAAATAACCTAAGTGAAAAACAACAATTTAAGATGATCAATTTTCCGAAAGGAAGAAAATCTCTTTCATCATTTATTTAAAGGGTATGAACCGACATGCCACTCCCTTAATATTACATCTACAGTCCCTTTAATTTCTCACCTTAATCCTCATTTCAGCGGCCTCCTGTCTCACATTCTTCAACCTCTGATCATCCCTGTCCCCCATCAGGGGCTTAGGGGCAAACTGACCTTGAGGAACCCAGGCGGGGGCCTTGTTTAAATGCCCCTGAGACCTTCGTTTGTTCGCTTTGTTCCTGGCCCTAGAGTGAAAAGTTGAACAATTTTTCAAGGGTGGGGATTGGGACGTGTACAGAAATTCCCTGTTTGGGGCTGTCAGTTTTCAAGCGATTTTGACTTTTCATCTAGAATCGAATGCACAAGGTCCTAGAGTCGTATGCTGAGTTTCAGTCAAGTTATAAAGCTTCCCGTCTAAGAAAATTGAGTAGTTTTCTTTTAAAAATACGACATTTAAAGATAAAAATTTGAACAGGCATATATTAATCGATTTTGAAATAGCTTTTTGATAAGAACTCTATTTAACAATACACATCATGATATAACAGGAGGAATTTGAGAAACTTTTGAATTCTATAAAACACTCTAGAGTAAGTGTACACTGTTTGGGGCTGAACCTTTCAATAAATCAGCCCATTAGAAAAAGTACTAAAACTAAATCAAAAAACAGTGCCAAAAATGGACAAGCAGAAAGAGTTAAGAAGAAATGAGATCCTGCAGACATCCAATTCATGTGGAGAAAGGAGAAAAAAGAAAAATTTATATTAACTTTGCCTCGTACCTTTTAATTTCATAAAAATTATAAAAGAATAAATTGCTAAAAAGTTAACTAAATCCCAACCCCAACATTAAAAAACTATTTATCTGAACTCGGAGAATGTTTGATATCATGAAAAGTTTATATGATGCCACATTTAGATGTTGTGATGCCCAGGATTTTAAAGAATTTTAAAGAAGATAAAAAAGCAACAAGTAGGTGAACTAGATACGGCTAATCTAACTACTTCTCCTCCGCTGGTTCAAGATTGATCTTATTAAAGAGAGGTATTTTAACTAGGAAGACGTGGTTGATCTACTTTGTTCACGTTCATTAATTTCAAAACCTGAAGTATCTCAAAGGTTAGATTAAGATCAAGATCAAGATCAAGATAACAGAGATCAAAATTAGGAGACATGACAAAAATGAAAAAGTTGATATCTCTCAGTCATTATCAGCAGAATGAAAGTTTTTGTCTAATTATTTGATTAGAACTTTAGTGAAATGAAAGATTTTGACGCAATATTAGTGAACTATTTTGGCACATTTCAGAGTTAAGAAATACCAAGCAATGTTTTTAAATTTCAGACTTGACTAAGACCCCATTTATATCTGGTTATTTCTAATTACAAATCTACCATGAACTTATACTTTTCATGTTTCCAACGAATGATCTATTTTATCAGGATTTAAAGCTAACCTAACATGTATATTTTTAAGTATTCAGGGCTTATTGTCAAGGTTTCAAAATCTCATGCGATGTTTCTTTTTAATAGACTTTATAAAGACGACCTTTATTCCACTTAAACTGATAATGAATGAGAAGTGCAAATGAAGATATAACAACCTTGCATACTTTTCTTAGATCAGGAGCAAGATTCAGACCTAACCTTTAGGAAACTCCAAAGTTCATATTTAAAGATATAGTGAGACGCAGTGATTGAACAAAGCTTTGGATTTAGATTTGTTCAGGACACATTTTCAAGGTTACAAAATCCCAAGCGACGTTTCTTATTTTAAGATTTCATTAAAACAACCGTATTTCCACTTAAAACTGGATTAGAATTTCGTCTCAACCTTTGGATACTCCAGAAGTAAGATTTTATGAATAGTGAGAAGAGGTTGAACAAGGTATGGGTAGTACAATTACCTGAAATCCAGTTCTCTCCTCTGTCTTTCCTTGAAGATGTGATCTTCCATTTCCCCCAGATCCTAAAGAATTTATTTTTTTACAGTGCTTAGTTTACAGGTCTGCATAATTCATTTTTTGCAGTGCTTAGATTACAGATCTGCAGAATTTATTTTTTAAGTTCTTAGAATACAGATCTGCAGAAATTATTTGTACAGTGCTTAGATTACAGATCTGCAGAATTCATTATTTCCAGTGCTTAGAATACCGATCTGCAGAATTCATTTTAACAGTGCTTAGAATACAGATCTGCAGAATTCATTATTTAAATTGCTTAGATTACAGATCTGCAGAATTCATTATTTACAGTGCTTAGATTACAGGTCTGCAGAATTAATTTTATACAGTGCTTAGATTACAAATTTACTTCAAGTTCAAATCTGCAGAATTCATTATTTACAGTGCTTAGATTACAGATCTGCAGAATTCACTATGAACAGTGCTTAGATTACAGATCTGCAGAATTCATTATTTACAGTGCTTAGATTACAGATCTGCAGAATTCAACAGTGCTTAGATTACAGATCTGCAGAATTCATTTTATACAGTGCTTAAAGTATATATCTGCAAAATGTAAGGGCCCCGAGATCCGGGTCAGCACAAATCCGGATCAAGTGAGACGAAAATGTCTTTCAGCCCAGCTGGGATTCTTTAGCGGACGTTGGCTGTGGAAATTGTGAAAGAGTATTATATGAAACATAATCTATATAAAAAAGCTCTATAACTAGCCAAAAGGCTGAAATAAATTGGCTGAAGTTTCTAGGAAACCCGAAGGTAACCCGGAGCTTGAAATATTTTTTTTTCCACGGATAAACATAAGTTTATAATTCAATACCAACAGTGGGTACGTAAACGGCGAAGCCTGGACAGGTTCTTTAGGTAGTTGTTTATAGTTCAGGATAATGATATTAATAAGTCGTGCAATTGAATATTTAAAAGAAAAAAATTCATTTTTATTCAAAATTAGTGTTGTACCTGCATAATAAGTTGAACTCGTTCAGGGTTCACCATTCCAGAATCCGTCAAGAAACCCTGGAATTTTTTAGTTAAAGGGACTGTACGCGTAATTTCAAGTGATCCTCCATGCAAAGATGGCAATGCCAAATTTACAGCAGTACCCTTAAACGCTTTGTCTGCAGATATCAATGTTTATAATTTTCTTTAAAAAATTATTTTCAAACATTTTTAAACCTAGAAATTTCGACAATATCTTCCACAATATTGACGAGAGAAAGATTTCCAGGGTACCGGTGTGAATCAGGCTCTGCCAACTTGCCATGAACGGTCACTTAAGATTACACTCAAACTCCCTTTAAAGAAAATGTCCACGATACATAGTTCTTTTAAGTTTAAAATTTTGTAAAAATCCTGCATTCCTCCGATTTATTCCCACAAAGTAAATAATTATTGAAAAATATCTATTGAACCAGTTAAAACCAATAATATCAAAATTCTAATCTATTCCAATACCAGTAGACATTTCAAATAAAGATATCGAAAAGGTTTCATATATCTTACAGTACTTTTGCAAGCATACAGAGCAGAAAAAAAAACAATTAACAAATACATATACATCTATGGAACAACTTTTATCGCAAATTGCCATAGGCAGAGTTGTTGCAATTATTGCAAAAAAAAACATCAATATAAAATGGACAGCTCTATGACAATCTGTAATTAAAAGATTTGTTTGCTTTGGGTTTCTTTGCAAAAACTGAAAAAAGAAATGCAACCAATGGACCCGGTTTTAGTGTGTGAAGTGTTTACTGACAAGACCAAAAAGGCGTATTTTTGGTATAAAAAAAATATTATTTAAACTAAAGAAACACAAAAAAGAAAATAAAAAACCCACACAGTTCCAGTCCCAAATATTAATTTTACAAGAATTAATTAGGCAAATTTTAAATATATGTATAGGCTACTCCTATCCTAAATATCTCTTATACTACAAAGTTTGAAAAGAATAAAAAATGCTAGGCCTATATAGTACTAACTCTAAGGCTTCCTAAGATATATCCTCAGTGTAAAAGTGCTCTCTAACTTGGAAGACTTACACATACATTTGGATATTTTTAATAATTTTATAAAAATGTTTTTAGACAATTATTATTCCTTGAGATTGTTTCTTCACAAAGATTAAAAACAAACTGTGTAGATGTGTGAATATTAAGAACATTTTTTTAGAAAGTGAATATTTGCAAATTATCTTTTTTCCATCTCATAATCTGAGTTCTTTTCCCTTATGTCCATTTGACAGTCCAAATTTTTATTTTGAATAATCTTTTTGTTTGTTTATATTCTTGTGATTTTTACATTTTTTTATTTTTTTTTTTAATCGATTTTGATATTCGTTGTTTTTGAGGGTGAAGGGGCAAGGTAAGGTTAAGGAAAGAGGCGAGAAGAGTGATCGAAATAATTATTATTTCGTTTAATTCAAATAAGTATTTAATTGTTAAAAAAAAAAAATATATGAAACCCTGCTTTTTTTAATTTTTTTTATTAAATCCCACAAATTTTTTTATTAAATCCCACAAATCTGAAAAATTAATTAATGTCCAATCATACCTGATGAACCCCTGGAACGATTAGACTCAAATTTAAATTAGGGAATTCGAGAGAACCACGGGAATGGTCTTAGCTTGGATTTGAGATTCCAAGTTGAGTTGCTCAATTTTCATAGGGAAAATAGCTAAAATCATAATTTACAAACAAAATGCGGGTAAACGGCGGGAGTAACTATGAGTACCCTGAGCAGCAACGCTGGGTTCTCAAGCTAGTTTCTAATAAATTAACAAATTTCAGAAGTATCGCAGCCTAAGTATAATGGCAAAAAAAGGTCTTTCAAAACACAGATTAAGGCAATTTATTTCCAAACTTTGAAATAAAAAAAATTCAATCAAAAATAAGAAAATTATCTAATATTTTATTTCATGATAAATATAATTAAATGGAGTAAGATCCCGTTTTTTGTTTTTTTTCCCCTTTGATGGAAATTAATGCTTGTAACAGTGAGAAGCTGTCTCAAGATAAAAGAGTTGGGGACAACTACAGGTAACAGTCCCTTTATAAAGACATCCAGTGTCCTTCTATTTTAAGAGTTGAATACACAATGGCACCGTTTTAAACTTTGCATTAGCAACCATTAAGAAGATATTTTTGAGGTTTCACTGTTAATTTATGCAGCAAAGATAATAGCTATAAAAATTACAATCTTCCTCATTATAATCTTCTTCATAATAAAGCTCTTCGCTCATCTATATATTCTTAAGTATTTTTTTTTCTTCAAAAATCAATCTTTTTTAAAACAGATTTTTTTTCAAAATTCGATTTAAAACAAATCCACAGGCAACGCCGAGCACTTCAGTAAGTATTAAATATTTTAGAAAAATACAGTTTTAAATTTGAGGTACGTCTCTTGAAATTTCATATTTGATCAAAATAATACCGAATTCTCATTTTTGTGTAATATGTAATCATCTTATAGACGTATTTACTATATATAATTTCAATATGCAATATCAGGAGATGTCCTTGCTTGGAGGAGGGCATAATCTTATTAACATTTTAAAAACATACTTTTTATTATTATTTGTGATAACAGGGGAATAATTTCAAGTTGAGCCTTCATGCAAATCTGGCAATGCCCGATTTACAACGGTACCCTTGAAACCTTTAAATGATTAAATATGTGATGTGAAAGAGAACGACGTTTTTCTGATAAAAAAAAACAATTATATAATAATTCATACTTGATCAGACAAAGCTGGGTATCGTTGTCAACTGGAAATTTGCTAACTTTGTATGAAAGGTCGTCTTCAGTCTCTTTAACTAATGACTTAGTGAGGAAAGATGAATGGGTATCTAATTTTCCTTGTTTGTATGTTTTAGGATTGTGGGTAAAAGTATAGGCTCTGGAAACTTTGGCGAAGTTCGGCTTGGAATGCACGTGAAAACAAAAAAAAAGTATATATTTATAGTAGTAATCTCTGTTTGGTTGTCCGTTTATAAATCAGAAAATGGGAAAAACCACGAAAATGTTCTTAGCTTGGTTTTGAGATTATAACTTGAGTGGGTTAACGTTTATATGGAAAAATAGCTAAAATCGTTATTTATGACCAAGCACGGGCAAATGGCGGAAGTAATCTGGGCAACGCTGGGTTCCCAAGCTAGTTTTAAAATCAAAAGTTTTGTTATTATGTAGAATGGTGTTTAGAAAGTTATGCTTATTTTCCCAAATGCAATGTTCTCCTAAGTTCCCTGCGTAAACTAGATCAAATTTATGCGACACTACTGGTACGACCTTGTGACCTCGTAGCTCCTCTAGTTTTGAATGTATGTATAAATTAAATGCGATAAATGCTAATAAATCCGGTTAGATATTGGAAATTTAGCTTTAGATGTAGAGAAAGTGTTAATCTACAACTTCTGTGAATTCAATACTGTTGATTAAAGGGAAATAATATCAATATATAAAATAATATTCTAGGGTTGTAATCAAGCTGGAGAGAATAATATCAATGTAAAATATAACATTCTAGGGTTGCAATCAAGCTGGAGAGAATAATAATAATATATAAAATAATATTCTAGGGGTGTAATCAAGCTGGAGAGAATAATATCAATGTAAAATAATATTCTAGGGTTGTAATCAAGCTGGAGAGAATTATATCAATGTAAAATATAATATTCTAAGGTGGTAATCAAGCTGGAGAGAATGATATTAATATATAAAATAATATTCTTGGGTTGTAATCAAGCTGGAGAAAATAATATCAATATATAAAATAATATTCTAGGGTTGTAATCAAGCTGGAGAGAATAATATCAATGTAAAATATAATATTCTAGGGTTGCAATCAAGCTGGAGAGAATAATATCAATGTAAAATATAATATTCTAGGGTTGCAATCAAGCTGGAAAGAACAACCAGCGATAAAAAGAAAATAATTTGTCTCAAGCAAGAATATGAAATATTAAAGAGAGTTCATGCCAACGGTAAAAAAACTTAATTTAAACAATATTTCTTTTGAAGACTTTAAAACAAAGATTATAATTTAAATCAAATTCATCAAGAAATTAACAAGTTATGAAATGAAACATTCAGGGGGCTTGGTAAGTGTAATCTCAAGCAACCCTAAAAGCATATGATAATGCCAGATTCACACTAGTTTCTTTTAAAGCTTTGATCTAATACGAATTAGATGTCAAATACGAACTAGATGTCACATACGAAGTATATGTCAAATACGAATTAGATGTCAAATACGAATTAGATGTCAAATATGAATTAGATGTCAAATACGAACTAGATGTTAAATACGAATTAGATGTCAAATACAAATTAAATGTCAAATACGAATTAAATGTCAAATACGAATTAGATGTCAAATATGAATTTAATGTCAAATACGAACTAGATGTCAAATACTAATTAGATGTCAAATGCGAATTAGATGTCAAATATGAATTAGATGTCAAATACGAACTAGATGTCAAATACAAATTAGATGTTAAAGACGATTTAGATTTCAAACACGAACTAGATGTCAAATAGGAATTAGATTTCAAATACAAACTAGATGTCAAATACGAATTAGATTTCAAATACAAATTAGATGTCAAATAGGAATTAGATGTCAAATAGGAATTAGATGTCAAATATGAATCAGGCGTCAAATAGGAATTAGATGTCAAATACAAATTATATACCAAAGTACGAATTAGATGTCAAAGACGAATTAGATGTCAAATACGAATTTAATGTCAACGACCAATTAGATGTCAAATACGAACTAAATGTCAAATACGAATTAGATGTCAAATATAAATTAGATGTCAATGTGTAAAATCTGAAAAATGGACATTTTTAATAGTGGTTTCTCTAAAAAAATGAACATTTCTGCTGCAAGACAATATACAGGAATTATCAGAATAGAACACTTTCTTACTTGGAAAAACTGCCGAATTTTATTGATTAAATTAAGGTTTCAAGGGTACAGTTGATCTTTTCATGGAGGGTCAGTTGAAATTACGGTTGCAGTCCCTTTAATTAATGATTTTAAGATTTTAAAAATATATTGAACACAAGTATGTATGAAGAACATTTTAAAAACTAAACATTTTCTTTTTTAAATCTGTCGCAGCAACCATTACTTGATTACTCTACTAAGAAATATTGGCTTTACCTAATTTAGTTCAATCCAAATCTTCTTATTAATTTCATTTTAGCCGACTCATTAAAAAATCAAAAGACAACATACATTTAATGAAGGAAAATTTGCATTTTCTAGGTAAAGCAAAGGGGTTTCCAGAACTCTTATATTTTGGAAGCTGCCATAAGGTAAAAAAATGCTCGCATTAACTTCTTTTATGCCCTGGGTGGCCTCTTTTTAATCTATGGTGAACATATCCTGAAACCCACATATTCCCAGCTGAGCTGAGGGAATTTTTTTTTACTTTTTTCTTATGGGTTTATAAGTAAAAGATCACCCCAGAATTGCAAGATGATTTTTAATGATTTTTAATTAATTTTGACATTGCTGATATTTCCAATGCATTTTTGATAATTTGGGCCTTGCTAGTCTTGAACAAAATGCATAAAATAATTTAGGTGCCTTGCTTTTCAGACTTTTCTATATTTCACCGAAATGTTCTCATAAATATTGGATTCTTTAACAAATAAGTAGAAAAATACAAGATACAAATTGAGCTATTTCTCAATTACTTCAGAAGACCAATTCACTGTAATTATATTGTTGCGGCATTGAGGAAATTATTTTTAAGGAAAAATAACTAAATTTTAATGGAAAAAGTATCAAAAAGGATAAAGAAACCTTTTTTCCATTTTATCAAAAAATTAAAGGGGGGGAGGGGTTGTGATTCTGAAAACACAGATCCATGAAAACTTCATTTTAAGATTGAGTGCTTGGTGATGGAACTTCTTGGGCCAAACCTTGAAGATCTTTTTCAATATTGTGGGGGAAAGTTTTCATTAAAAACAACGACAATGATTGCGTTTCAGGTAAAAATAAAATTTTAAATATTCCGTTCTTTCATTTATCGTTTCTTGTAACTGTTTTTTAAGAAGACTTTGTAGTTTTTTAACAAATTCAGTCAGTGCTTAAGATCTGAATCCTCATCAATTCGGCTTTCTGGATCCGCAAAACTAAGCGGATCCAGTGCGCGAATAATCTGAGGGGCAAAACATTGACCCAGAACTGTTAAAAATCCTTTTTCTCTCCAAAACATCTCAAATGTTTCAATGCAAGATCTATTTTTTCAAAGGATATTTGAATCTAAATTAAATGGACCCTATAAGCTAAGCTTACTCAGCTTTCGCTGTCGCCTGTTAATTTTCAAGACACTATTTTTTGTATCGTGTTCCAATTAACAATTTTCGTTGATTTTTCTGTTAAACGTGAAAGACTTCAAACAATTGAAAAAGTCACAGTTTTTTTCATTCAACCATTTAAATCAACTACAAAGGGTCATGTGACCATCAACATGTGGACCGATTATGTTCTGTCCTAGATGAAAAACTACTTAATGATTTTAGGTTTTAGACCGGGTTGAATTCCTGCATAACAAAGGAATTATGTATAGGTAAAATATTAATAACATTTTAAGAGAAAAAATAAAATTTTCTACCCAAAAGGAAGAAATAGGCTTAAAAGTCATAAATAATCTTATTCAGGTTCAAATCTGAGAAACATTCTGTAATTTAGTTATTTCAAAACACAAATTTTTATAAATTTTTTATTTTTATTTACTTCTATCTATTTCAGAGACATAAAACCTGAAAACTTTGTGCTTGGGCTGAAGGACGGAGATAACTTTAACATGATTCACATGATCGACTTTGGACTTGCTGTTCCTTACATTAACACGAATGGTAAAAAACCCATATGTTGATTTTGTTTCCACATATATGAAACTCCTTTCACCAAAAACTATGCACATTGCTCAAATTAGTGAAATCAAAAATAAAATGGCTAAAATTTAACACTTTTTAATCAAATAACATGAAAAAGATTTGACAAAATTAGATTAAATCTTTGTCTACTTAAATATGACGTAGAAATCCCTTTTACCCAACAACCTATTTATATTGCCAAAAAATATGGAAATATATATAATCTTTGACCTTTCAAGGTGGGTGTGAATGGGACATGCTACTCAATAAATAAATAAATTCAGGGTTACTTAAAACAACCAAAAATGGTAAGGCCGTAGCCCTGACTATGAATCATTTTTTTTAAATCAATTTTTATATTTAAAATGTGTGTCTTATGATTAACTCTACTCTGTAGGTTAACTCCTCTATTTGTAAAACTCTACTCTGTGAGACTTACCCCCCCCCTCCCACGGAAACAAACAAAAACATTTTTTTGATCGCACAATATTTTGTTTAAGGTCCAGAATGTATTTGATATTACTTTTCAGCATAGCCCTCATATAAAGATGATATTCAAATTCTAATCTTTCTAATTAAAAAAATGTAAACAAATTTAGTTTCAGAAATTCAAAATCAGTGCTTAGGATCCAGATCTAAAGGGCAAAATTTCAATCAAATGTATGTGCACTCCAATTGTTATCTAAAGAGTCAACCTTCCCCTTTCGATGGATCAAGTTGACAAAAAGGATAAAATAAGAGATGGATGAATGATGAGCCCAGTTCAGAGCTGCAATTTTAGAATTGGATAACATTAATACCAATAACGCAATCTGAATATCCACTGTGGACTCTTTAGATTTCTGTTAAATTCGCTCTTTTTAATATCACTACCGGATTCTCTCATTAAATGGCGCGCAAAATTTCTAATTTCCTGACTTCTGATCGCTGTTTGAGATTCTGCATATGCCACTCTGATTGGTTGATTTTTATACACTTTCCTGGACACAGACTACAGATTGAAATAATCTTAAGAATAAAAAAGATGGACTTAAGCATTGATCTCGATATTCACAATTCTTAAGTTTCCAGCTCTGATAATTTCAAATTTGAATTTGATATTTTTTTTTTCAGGGAATTTTCACATCAACCATGAAAGAAAAATATAAACGAATAAAAAATACAAAAATGAAATATACACCAGAACTTCTCTGCCAGGTGATTAGCTAAAAAAAACTATTAAAGATGGAAATAAGAGAACAAAACGAGGAATTAAATTTATCAAAAAAAAAATGTTTTGTCAAATTTCAATTAAACTTTGTGAAAGAATATTGAAATCATTATTTGGAATTGTAGAAATAAATCTCTTAAGTCTCAAATGGACAGTAATCTTAATTAAATTTTACATTTCAATGTTTCTACTTTTTTTAAATAAGCTGGAATAAAAAAATAGACTTTTTGTGGGGCTTTGTAGGATAAAAAATAGCAACAATTCTCGACTTTTTATTTGAAGAAGCTGACACTTCAAGACGTTAACAAAATCAATTTAGGGATGCCCGACCCAGTATCAAGAATTTCTTCGCTACTCTAAAGGGTTAACATTTTCCCAGAAACCAGATTATGTGTACTGTCAGGTGGGACAAATTAGACTTTATTCAATGCTTAGGATTTCAATTAAGTGCTTAGAATCCTTTTTATTATGAAGTGGATCCGAATCCAGGTACTGGATATTCTTTACAGATTCACGGATTTTTTGAACAACTGAAAAATGTTCTAACTTTTTTCGCGCTTGTTTTTATGCTGAAACTCAATGCCATTCGGAGATTGTGAAAATTTTAATAATCGCTCATTAGTTTATAGATTTGTGCTTAAAAAGCAAAAAGTTAAATTTAAGCAGGTTGTGATTGGTATTTCCCCCTTGGATTCGGATATATATGATCTCTATATTTTCACAGATCTGGATCCGGGAAGTCAAAATGTTGAGCATCCGGATCCTAAGTATTGGTTTATTAAGTTGCCGAGGGGCATTTACACTTTAAAAATTCTGACTACAGTCCCTTAGAGGGTCACTGGTAAAAAAGCTTTGAGTAAAATATTTTCAGGTGATCATCTGCCATTTGAAGACTCTAAAATAATGACAGGAACAGCAAGGTTAGTTACAATTATTCTTATCTAATCATTTTATGACAAATATTCGAACCTTTTTTAAATTTTTCATAAGGATGGGTTTATGGGCAATCAAATTGAAAAATTTTGAAATGCGCCAATTCCATAAGAAAAATTCGACAAAATTTGAGAATGCATGAAAATGGCAGACTTTCAGCACAACAGTTAAAAACTAAAATATGAAAGTGGTCTGGTGCTCTAAAAAACTATTAAGTATGTTTCTTGGGTTAAGGTACATGTCTGTTAATGCGCATATGGGGAAGGCTCAGAGCAGGAGAGATGATTTAGAGTCAATAGGAATTAAAAATGTGTTTTAAATAAACCTTTCACAAATGACGAATTAATAAGTCATATTTCATCTTAAGTTATATCATCAATAACTTTGAAAATTTGAAGTGACATTTTCATTCCTAAAATGACATGTCCAAGTATAAATGGTAATATTTTTAAACCCTAGTCTGAAGAAAAACAAATGAAGAAGTTGCCAGATTAGAATATGCCAATATTTTCATAATAGTAACTTCAATAAAGTGTGTCTTTTTCTAGTTTTTGTCTTATTTCTTTAAAAAAAGCTGGTATAAAGTATTAATATTATCGGGGTTTAAAAAGTATTAATATTATCGGGGTTTAATGAAAATATCAAAATACCAGCTTTTAATAATGGTTTCCTTTTTCTTTATTAAAACCATTTAATTGATATTCAGCATATATGCTCTTATACTTCATTAATGGAAGCTTGCCTTGGCAGGTAATACATACTAGAAATTAAATATAAAACGTCAACCATCGTTATTTATGACCA